GTTATGGCGTTATTCTGGGCATAATCATGACGCGTCATCGTGGGCGCAATCATGTCGCGTAATCGTGTGCGCAATCATGTCGCGTCATCGTGTGCGCAATCACGTCGTCCTATGGTCCGGAGATTCGATCGCGCAACGTATGCTGTAAGACGTTCTTCGAACACCGTTCTTCTGACATCGCTAAGGTACATCATGCTAGAAGCTGCGGTGGTAAATTTCAGCGAGAAAAGCCTAGATCTAGCTTAACGCAGCCTTGGATGCACGCCTTGACTCGAGGGAATTTGACGTGATATCACATTAAAGATAGCTCACAAGTGTCAACCGCAGGAGGGTTGACCTTCGCTGTCAATACTCGAGAAACATGAGGTTGCCCGCTCTCACGTGGAACGTTTGGTGGGTCAGCGGGTACATCAAAATTGTTACCAATTCCTGGTGAATTAAGAGGGTAATTGCTAGTCTAGAAATTCGTGGGAGTTAGGGGTCTGTTTTTGTTTCGGCAATTTCGCTTTAGAGCCGTTGCAGCCTACGATCTGCCGCACTATTTGCCAACGTCGTTTATCGCAAGAACTTTCGTTATCAAACGATCCACTTTATCCGATATGCAGCAACAATCACATCAGGATTAATGCATTCCAGTTACAGTAAATTCGCGTCAAGAATACACCGACTCTAACGTCCCGCATCGATGTCTTAAATACCTTTCTGTTCTTTTACAATTACATATATTAAAAAATAAAGTCATCCTAGCTAAACACGTAGAACTATCATATAAGATATCACTATTCCTATTTATCATATATACTAGGATATATAAAATCCTCCAAATAATCGTCACCTCGATCATGACTCTACGAACATTATTACGTGCATCTCCTGCTCGTATTCCATCACTTTCCTATCACATCAAGTCCATTTCTCATGCTTCATCTTCTTCTCGATTCTCTTCATATAATGATTCAACCTCACCTTTAATTAAAGTGCAAAATATCGCGACATCTTACGGTCAATTGGATATTTTGTTACCACTTCCAGGTATTGTCGGTCTCACACGATTTGAGCTTGAAGATGGAAATGCAAGTGTGAAAGATGTAATTAATGCAGTGCAAGATATTGATATTACGTTAAAAAGTGTCGAGATTACAACACCAGATGGAACAAAACTTGCACGTACCGTTCGACTTAGTGAACTTGCGTCCATGTCGTTTTGTTTACGATTGAATCACATGAATATTTTGATTGAAAGTGGTGTCTCTGTATTGAATGAGAAGAAATTACGTGAAGAAAGTGTAGCATTCGCGACAGTGAAGGCAGCGATTGAAAAAGATGTTCGATTGATTGTACGTACAGTACATTTTTTTTATTTTCGGAGAATGAAAACTAATATGAAATTGTTAAGTTGCCTTTGCATGAATTTTACGAAATGTGCCATAATGTTGGAGCAGAAGAAAAAGTGGGTACCAAGTGGCTTCGTGAGTTGCAACGTCGACATTTAGTGGTACATTTTGATCGCTCACGAAACCCGCAACTGGAAAATGTATTAATACTTCGACCCTATGTAAGAATATTTAGTTGTAGTAGTGCTATTTTTTCTAACCACTTTTTTTTACAATTTCCCAGAGCTTGGAAAGTATTTTAACGCTACAAAATTCTCTTGACTCGGAATTGTACAATATCAAACACGATCGGAAAGTGAAAGAACGACAAGTGACTGAAGTTATGAGTTCAATTAAAAAACTCAAACAAATTGAAAAAGATGTGGCTTTAGCTGCTCGTTGGATGCCAAATGTACAAAAATGGTTCGGTCTTACAAGTTTAACAGGATTCTATGGCACGCTCATGTATTGCGTCTGGGATGTATATTCATGGGATGTTATGGAGCCTATTACGTACTTTATTGGCTTTACAACTGTCCTTGGGAATTCATTTTATCATGCGATGACAAAACAAGTAGGTTGTATATTCTTTTTTTTGTCATGAAGTGATAGTAATTCTAATCATTTTGATATTTTAGGATCCAACATATAGTAATATGTGGCAAAAACGATATGCGAATCGTGTTCTCTTACTAAGTAAACAACGAAATTATAATCCAATGGAACTAACAAGACTTGAAGCTCGTCTTGTTGATCTTGAAAAGGATCTTACTGTTCTCATGCAATGGGAAAAAGTTCAAATGCAAGACAAGACGTTGTAGATTCATATTATTGCAATAATTACATATCTACCAATCAGCTTTTGAATAAAATTATTCTACACACTTATTTCTAAAAAAGATCTCATGGCAGCAAACCAAAGTATTAAGGAGCTCATGGCAGCTGAGACGAAAGCGTCCAAGATCATTAGTGAAGCACGTCAAGGTATTGAAATTTACATTAAGTTAATATGATATTGTATATATGACTGAAAGATTGGAATAAAAGAACGCGGAGAGCGTTTAAAACAAGCAAAATTGGAAGCAGAGGCTGAGATCACAGCATATCGTAAACAGATGGAACGTACATTTCAAATGAATGGAAATACAGATGTAAGTACAAATATATATGTCATGAGATGATTCAAAGTGAATTACTTGAAGAATTGTAGCTTATGGGTGAAGATCCAAGCGTCTCGGAGGAAGAAACCCAACGCGAGATTCAAAAAATGCAGTATGGTGGTTTTATTCTTTTTTTGATTTTTTTATTGAATGTGACTTAGTGCATGCTGTAGAAAGGAATTTCAACAGAATAAACAAGCAGTCATTAATATGATGGGACAACATGCTGTTCGTGTACAGCTTCGCGTACCAGAAGCGCACAAGAAGTGAATACTTGACAATATTAGTGACAATATATATTGTCAAACATTTAGGTTTTTTTATGTGGAAGACATAAACACGAATTACCTTTTGAAAGGAATAGTCTTATCTTCTTTTGGTTGTCGTCGCTTCGGATGTTTCGCCAGTGGATGTTCCAAACTTCGTGCTAGAACTTCATGTCGATGTTTATTTAAATTGCAAATTGCTGCTCGACTGACATGATATTCTTTTGCCAATGCTGATTGCTTCTCACCATAAGCTAGACGTATTAAAATCTCTCTTCGATCAATTTCACGTAGATATCGAGACGTTTTAAAACGTGGGTCTTGACATAAAGATGATGTCGTGTGCTTTTCGTTATTGTAAGCAAGTACTTGGTTGATTATTGGATTCGTTTGAAGATCTTGAGCTTGAGGTTTCATGACTTTAGGAATGATTAACTTCTTTTGATTTGTAAGTTCTCGATTGAATCTTCGAAGTGTTGAATCGTATGCATAGAGTTCGTATAAACGGATAGATTTAAACTTGATTTATGAAGACGAAGTAAAGAAGCTATTGCAGGAAGTCTGTCACCTTGATATTGCATTAAATGTCGACGATTTGAGATACAAGAAGCGATGTAAAGATGATCATTTGAAACCATTTGGTAAAGACGTTTGTCTTGATTAGAAAGTTGATAACTAAAAACGAAAAGATATAGACATCGATTCTTGAATCAGTTTCAATACGTTTTGGATCAAAACGTAGTTTTGATATCATGAAATCGTCGAATGACTGAAGATTCGATAGTTAAGTTAACCATCGTCTTAAAGTATTGCGACAATTGTGAACTTGTGAAACTTTCTTAACGTTCTTGAAACTGTATCCACGACGTTAATGGACGATCTGATCTTTGGTTTCAACTAAAAGCATGTTCGCACATTTTTTAATTATTCTTATTAAAAGATAACAATAATATACAAAAACAATAAAAAACAAAGTACTAGCTGACGTTTTGCGTACAAATGTTGCATTATGCGTACAAAACAAGTTGCTCGTCGTACAAAATAATCGAGTAAATAGTACTATAATGGAAAGAATCATATCGTATATTTCAACTACGTCCTCCTCAAACTCATCCGATCTAAAGTCTCAGACAACGCCACCACTTGGTCGAGAACCCAATAACGAATGATTTCGACGTCGTTCACTATAACTTGGATAAACTGCATCACTGTCATTGCTATTCGTTCGACTAACATTACTTCTTGATGGTGCAGCAAGTGGTACATTGTTCACTTGTTGTTGATATCCCGTAGGTTTGGATGCTGAATTGGTATAACCATATAACTGAGTGTACGACTGTTGTAAATTCTGTGGTGTGGTAAATGGATGTCCAGTATTAGGATTGTACGGTTGAGAAGGAGTAGGAGCTTGTCCATATGCTTGTTGTGTAGCACTTAATCCAAATCCACCCGATGATTCCGTGCGTACAAATTGAGCATGTGCGTCCATTTCAGCACTTTGTTGCATTGCAATCGCCAAATCTCGTTCATATTCTTTTCGAAAATATCGAATTTTTTCAGCTCGCCCAGCAGAACTTAAATATCCCGTAATTGACAAGATAATTACCGAGGCTAAACACACCCAGAAACTATATCCATAGAACCAGCAACGCCATTGGGTATTGTCTGCTTTACAACTTGAATACGCCGAATTTATTGCATCAATTTCATATAATGTTTGTTGTAGTAAAGCACCCCAAATTACTAATGACACAGCAAGTAGTAATGCTAAGAAAATAAATGACATAGTACTTTTGGTTAGAACGCCAAAACATAATAAATCAAATGACAAACACTCACATCCAACAAGGGTACAAAAGGATACAACACGTTCCATGTACCCCGCAGAAGGGTTATATACTGCTCCAATGGAAGTAAGTAAACCCAAGACAGAGATAGCAGCCCCCGTAGCTGTTGTAGCTTGTACTGATGTCATTCGTTTTCCACATAAAACACGATGAAAGTCCACACCATCCCCAAGCATGTAATTAGGAATCGTATAATTATCGACACAAAAGTCGGAATATTGTAAGACCGTGGCTGAAGCGTAGAATGGTGAACTTAAGCGATTTGTCGAATAAAAGGCAAAGAGTCCAAAGCCTTGATAGACATCGTGACCATCTCGACGATAATGTTGTTGAAACCATGCAGGGTACGCTAAAGCGTAAAATGCTGTACCCACAGATACAAGAGAAAGAAACACCGCTATAGAAATGCAAAAACGTTGTTGTTATGCCACATCATAGGTTTCCTTTGTATTTCTTGAAAAATCAACGTACTCAAGATGGTGTTTTTCATCATCATGATAGACAAGAGGAGAACTAGGACGCGAGAAAGAGGAAACGACAGGACGCGGACGAGATCAATGCTGCTGTACTTTGCGTCACCTCAACGCCAGTTTAGAAAAAGTGAGAAGGTGGAGTAGAATAAGGAACGATAGGGTTGATATTTTGAAAACTAGTAATATGGAGGTTTGTATGGAATTTCTAAATTTAGAGATGGAAAAGCAACTGCGCACTGGATTTCAAACACCCTGTACCAGAAAAATAGGGGTAGGGATGCACATTTTAGTGGCTATGCAATTGAATGGAGAAGCAAGAAAATCGGTCCAATATGCAACAAATTGGGTACATCTTGATTTTCACAAATTGACGTAAACCGATTTACTTGTCCATATCCCCATACTGGGATACTTTGACGTTCTTATAAAGGAACATCTGTATCCTGGTACCCAGATAACTTTTGGTGTACCGACCAAAGAAAAGTACAGGAGACAGGACTATGGTCACTACCGCGAAGTTCGTCATTTAATGCCCTGTAATTATCTCGCTGGAGTGTCAACTGGTTATTGTTTGAATCAAAACATGTAACCTTTTCAACTTTGAAATACTCCGAGTTTTGCGAGTGATACAAGATACGATCACACCAACTTGGTACGCGTTCTCGAATGCGTCCACCTTTATAAATTGGTTCACGATACTTTGTCTTATATACGTGTTGAACCCATCGAGTAGTACGTCCTGTGCCAGTAGTCGAACCACTTAATGGTAAACGTGCACGATATGGTACTTTTTTATAGGTTGGAAAGAATGTTGGCCATTTTACTGGTTCCCGAAACGATTGTAACCCGGGTACATTTTTCAAATCTGTGGCCAAACTATCATATTTGTCATGAAGCTCTTGTAATCGACCAGCAGTTAGTAACTTAAGAACTTGGTTACTCTCTAAAAGCTGAAGACGAGAGTTAAAATCTCCCATCCAAACGACATGATCACTCCACGTTGCTAAAGTATCGAATTCAAACTTTGTTGTCCCTCGAGCGAGTGACCGTGGCAATTCAGTTGCAAGTTGCTCAAGTTGTCGCAAACGTCGTTCAATGGAATTTGCTTCTAAATGACAATTAACAAAAGTCAAAGTTTGAGGGTCGTCACTTAAGCGAATTGTGACAGCAATGCCACCTTTAGAGCCAAGAAATTTATGTGAACCCGTTGCAATGACGTGAAGATGATTTTCAAGATAATGTGCATAATAAATTGAAAGACTTGTGGATTTTCGATGAATAAGAGCGTGATCTCCATGGCCTCGAATCTCACAAGCTGAAATTTCTTTTGGCCAACATAAGCAATGAACAGTTGAGTTAACAATCGGAGTATCATCACTATCAATGTACCAAGATTTTGGACTGCATAATCCACATGTTCTATCACTACCACAATAACTTGATCGATGTATTCGAGTTTCACAATGTATCAATGACTGACATTGACACATTTGACGATATGGTCTTGTCTCTTTAGCTGTCAAATCGAGACGATGGTACAATTGTCGGGTCACAACATTTTGATTATCTTTTCGTGAATGTTGTAAACGAGCAAGGATTGCTGCATCCAGATATGTCGTAACCTTTTCCTGGGTACCAATAACATAAAGATCATACCCTAAAGGTATTAATTCTTTTACTGCTTTTGCTGCATGATCATCACCAATATATGGACCACGTGTACGAGATGCAAACGGATCTTTTGCTGCCATGTTCCATGTGGCCACAAAGATCCGTAACTCGGTCATTGATGATACCGAAGGAATTGATTCTTGACACGATTCGGGAGGTGAGATATTTAAATCATCCTGCTCTTGTACACTGGTGGTTTGAGTATCTATATTCTCCATTTCATGCTCTAAATTGTCGTTATTATTGTCACTTTTCCCAATATTACATTTAAATTGCTTTAGAATTGTATCACCAGAAATGTCATTTTCTGTCTTCTCAATCTCAATGTCAATATCATTCTCACTTGCTTCTTCACTCTGAATACTCTTAATATTATCACTCGTCTCAAATTGATACTTTTCGCGACGTTGTAGAAACCCGTCCCTATCCTGTTCACGAAATGAGTCGTCGTTGCACCAACCTCTTGAAGGCTTTAGATCTGCTGCATTGTATCGACGTATCCATAAATTCAATAACGAAAGCATCTTGTCGACACGTTAATCAAACTGTAGTCATGGATGGGTGGGTGACCTTTGCCACTATCCCATGTATTAAGTCGCAACGGTCCAACTTGCTCAAATACCCAAATTTTTAGTCAACAAATTGAGCTAATTTATAATTTGGGCTTTATCAATAAAAGGGACAAATTTGAATAAAGCTCGTAATCAACGATTGATTGCGCTCTTTATGTTGAATCATTCGTCATCTCGTTATATGGCCAGTCTGCTTCTGTTGTTGAATGAGCTTTTAGTGTATCTAAGCGCTGGTTTGGCAAAACAATGTGCAAACAGCAAATTAAGGAATAACGCTAGTTTATTTCCATTAATTATGAAGCTAAAATAATGACATCAAAATACAAAAATGGGTCGTTCCGAGGTAAAGATGATCATCAAGTGGTTTGTATTATAACGCATACTTTACTGAAGTAGCACGAATAAAAGCTGCGTTGATAAATAACGGTCCACTCAATTCCTCACCATTCTGAAGAACTAATTAGTGATGATTGTATAATTTCAGTATTGTCATCAAAACGACTATTTATTTATAGAACATTTATAGTGGAGACTCAAATTTACTGTGCCCAATTTTCGTGTCTGACCATATCTTGCATTTGAATACCTTTAGGATTGATTTTCAACAGCAGAATATATTGGATTCCACTGTAATTGCTCCACCATTGAGCAGCATCTTCCTGACTCGCCCAATTCTGAGATCTTCCAACCTTCACAGCCAGTGTCACCCAATTGACAACGGTGCGAAGTGCCGGAAGTGGTGTGCGGTTGAATGTCAATCTTGTAGGGTCAATTATTGCATCAGCTTCCTTGTTTGGGAGCGCAGCTGTACTCGCTGTGATTGAGCCACGACTGCGTCCATTCCCAGTCACAATGAGGAACTCGTATGTTCTCACAGTGCGTTCATGCACAGTCGTTGGAAGTTCGACAATTACGATACATTCATCATAGATGCAAGACATCGAAGTGAAATCCGCAGTCCTTCACCATTTCCAACATACTTATCGAATGCAGTAACGGAGACTCCCTCTCAAACAACATACGGATCGATTTATTCGTCATTTTGATCGAAATAACTCGCAATCATGACGCCGCGGATTTCATCAGCGATTTTCAAAATCGTCATGTTGACCGGTGGAAGAACAATGCGAATCCCCGTCGCAGAATGCGCGTTTCTTGAAATGGAAAAGTGAAAGACACCGATTTTCTTTGTCCGCTTATTCCTTTGCATATAGGAGCATCGAGCGTACTCCTGGTCACCCTCAGAGACAGCGATGATGCAAGAAATTAGTACGACATAGTACTTAGCTCTTCAACGCAACATCATCACCAATGTATGGACATGTACGATATGCGAACGAATCTTTTGCTGCCATATTCCATGTACCACAAAGATCCATAACTATCATTGATGTTATGGATCGAATTTTGTGGTCCTGGACACGATCTGAAATTATCATATTCAAATCACCTTCCATTCTGTCCCAAATATTCTGCATTTCATACTCCAAATTGTCGTTATTATTGTCACTATTCACAAAATTACATTTAAACGTCATTTTATGTCTTATTGATCTCAATATTAATATCATTCTCACTTGCTTGTTCACGTTTTTGCGACGTTGTAGAAAGCCGTTCCACGAAATGAGTCGTCGTTGCACCAACCTCTTGAAGGCTTCAGATCTGCAGAATCGTACCGACGTATTCAATCACGAAAGGCATCTATACGTCGATTAGGTTGTGGTCATAATCAAATACTTAAATTTCTTAAATTAATTTTAGATTTGATCTAATTATATAAAAGTAGGCTAAAACGATCTTATCGGATAAAGCTCGTAATCAACGATGCTCAGCGATTGATTGCGTTCTTCATATTGTATCGTTCGTCACCTCGTTAAATGACCAGTTTGCATCTGTTGTTTAATGAGCTTTTAGTGCTTTTTGGTGCTGGCTTGGTGCAATCAGCAAATTAAGGTAGATTACTACTTTATTGTCATAATACAATTATGAAACTAAATTAGAAATATATTAATGCGCGATTGCGCTGTTTCTTACTTCCGAAGTATTCTGCTGGTAGATATACAACCACATTTAGATGAGGCAATGTTTTGTCGTAAGCTAGATATTTCTACTATTTCGCATTTGGACTGCACTTGTTTGATACATGCAGAGAAAGCTGCATGTATTGGTCAAACTTTTGTTTTGACTTACTTGTTTGAGTGAATGCAATCTGTGTAGAGACCAATATTTTTGCAGTAATATATTACCTTTTAAAACAATATAATAATGTAAAGTACAAATCTGTGAAGATAATACTAGTTTGGTATGACTTGTATCTTGTCAGCTGTGCCCTTGGGGCATCAAGCGCATAGGACTATCGTTTGTAGATTTAAATGTAGCTGCAACATTTTTTGCCCATCCATTCTATACACTTGAACGGCAAAGCCTGGTACTTGGATGACGGCGCTCGAAAATGTATGAAGTAGTATTTGTGAAGGGACGATAAATTACTACTACAAAATTGGCGGCAAAGCAATTATTTTGGTAGATTCATCTTTTTGAAGTGCATAATTAATTCCCAACACCCGAATTTTGGGTAAGTCACACAAATGTTATAGGATACTTAGAATTGACATAATTGTATTGTGAGCACCTACATGAGACTTATAGCAGCATCATAGCAGCAAGAAGAGCAAGACAACATTATAATCTGATCATATTATTCTTATTGAAAGTACCCTTGTTAGTGGAAAGAACGCTCAACAGATCGGTAGCGTATGATCGTATGTGGTTACAAACCCTACTACGAGAAGGGGCGTGCACGAATGATACTGTCGGCAACAGTGCATACTTTACGGCGTTCGCGCATGAAAATTTTGGCTATGCATATTGAATTAAGGCGATTTAGGGATTGACCGGAACTGATTTCTGAGCAAGCACACCTGACCACAGAGGCTCAAAAACAACTCGATCAAGATAGACTAGCCATCGCGGACAGAGTTGTCAGCTATCAGCTTATACATCGCAACATTGATGCAGCCCATCCTATATCCTTATCTACCAGCAAGCAAGTAATGAGTAGAGCTTTCACCGCTGTGTTCAACAATAAGCTCTTGGTGGCTTATTAACATTTTGTGATTTCGATGTTGTTGGTCGTGAATACGATATCTGACAAGGTCAAAATAACTGGAAGCCACATGACTTCCACTTTGAAGCCGTGTAGTTTATGTTTGCTCGAGAAGTTGAGCCTGGGCTTACTAAGAAGACCGTTGGAGGGGTAATTGATTGGTTTTGTTATAGATGTAATTGTAGAGGCGTAGGTAGCGGCAGAAGCTGATATGTTTTATCGATCGAATACATGAACGTTTTCAACATGCTTAGGGCTAGTAGTAGCTATTACAAGGTCCCGTTTTTGCTTATCATCTGAGCACTTCGTCCTTGCTTTTGACATACATGTCCTAACAGGTACTCACACTTGTAGTTGACTTATCAGTACTTATTGATAGCTGGTACTATTATGCTGCACCGTATCAATTATTCATGTCTGGGCGTATCGGCTGCAGTAATCGTCGTGCGCCTGATTCTTTCATGCATAAACAAACAGAAAGCATTCGACAACTCCGCAGCCCGTAGTCTTGGTAATGCTTTGATAAGCCATCACCGCCTCGACGGCGATGATTACTCCTGGTGAAGACGAAGAAGCACTGCAGCGTAAAACAACGCGTATGGTCTACTCGGAAAGCCAGCTCGTCTCTACAAACCACCACTTGAGACCTGTATGCTTAAGCTTTTCATCAATGTCGATCTTGGTCGTGGATACCCACTTGTTATGGATGACTCCTTGGGTGGTATAGCTCTCTACAAATTGTCTGTTCAGTGCTTTCAACTTTTCATACACTGCCGTGGCGTGCTTGGCCTTCTGTATACCCCGCATTTTCAAGTTAAAATTTTTCGGATCCAAGACTCAAGCAAGACATTTCAAATCGTGAATTTTACATATCCAGAAAAGTGTTCGGGCGTTCTTGGCTATCAAAACTTACCCATGTGCGTCGAACCTTTCTCAAACTTCACTGAGCCATCACTGCGGTATTATCAAAATCTCCAAGATTCTAACTTTAATCCTTATGATGCCTTTCACGCATCACAGCATTGCCCTACATGTTATTTTTTGCTCGTTCTTTGATATTATACGTATTGTGTGACACTCTAAATCCACTCTTTTGAAATGTAGACCAGGTATCCTTCGGTTCTGATAATTCTTTTGGTAAGTATCGAGGTCTTTTCTCGCTCATTTAGCAAAATTTCAAAATGAGCATATCCCGTGTTCAAGACATCGATGCCGCACAGACATGCACAAAAGCAGCGTCTACAATGAAAATTAGAGCGGTGCAGAACAACATACAAATCCCGTGTTTCCATTAGTGAGTGTGCTTCCGTGCGCAGACTCGTGGGTCATCATTATGATCGTATCATACCGCCATTGTCAAGGCGTGTGTGAATGCCATTGCACATGCAGAAGGGCAAGCTGACTTTTCTCGTTCTAGCCCAAAAAATTGTGGCAAGCAGATCGTCGTTGTAATAAGCCTTGCAACGGGATGACCTCAGCACTTTCACATAAAAAACGGGGAAGAAGTGCGTAATATTTGCCAAAGATAGGCGGACACATATGCTCCTGATATTTAGCGGCTCTGCCGTACGTACCATCTAGTAATATCCGAGTCTATGAACATTCATCAAATGACACTGCCATGAATATCATTGCACGACTAAAACGTTGTACTCTTCTCTATACATATTATGCAAAAGTTTCGATCAATAAATTCTGTTTTCCTCTCTGAGATCCCGAAAAGACAATCTTTTCCTTCAACATTCCATACAAATAACAATTTGCACGAGAATCCTCATAGAGCTGACATTAAATATTACAATCCTGTGCTGTGACTTTGATCTTGACCCCTTATTGATAACTTAAAAAAGCTACCTGTCACTCGCTTAAGAGGTTGACCGGGTCCTTCCGCAAACTGAACTGCTTACCAAATGTTGATCGGACCCACTACCCAGGTTCCAACATTACTCTCCTGTTTTTATTCTGTCCTGTATAGTAACACGAAGTCCACCAATTTTTGGACGTTATCATTTTGTTTATTTTCTGTTCAGCAAAATTGTCACGAGATTGATTGCAGCGTAAGCTCTTTGCTTAGTGGAAAGTTACTAAGGTCGCCGACCTTGCATTCTATACAAGAACCAGTACAAGTGTAGCGGATCGCGAACCGCTACCTCCAAGAGTACTTGAAACCTTAACAAAAAACGACGCTCTCCCGTTCAAAATTGAAACTGCTTTAATTGTTTTATTTGCTGCAGAGCCGTCCATTTTAAAACCTTTGGTTTTCCTAATTAAATAGCAAAACCTAATTAATATGCATAGCTACTGGCAGTCCCGCCACGTAGTGGCTTCTTGTTATTGTGTAGCTACACCATTGTGTGATAACACCGACTTGTGTAATTCACACCTTTGTACGGTCACACCATCTTGTGTGACCCTCCCTTTCATACCAGGGTACGTGTAACTCCGTTACATTGATCGTCATCCCGCGACCAAACTGAGATACCTATATTCCATCTTGCTGAGCAACATGTAGTAAATGTATATGATATGTGAATAATGTCGTCTTTCTCGCGCTGTGATCATCATCGAAATCGATGATTACCTGGATTCAATTTTGCTTTTCCACAGGCATCGCGCACAACCGAATGCCTCGGCGTAGCCTCGTAGGACATTTCCAAGGATGTTACTGACTTGTTCTGCCCATTCATTAGCATCAAAATGGTATCTGTCAACATTTAAGGTTTGATGTCGAGCAACTGAAACAACAAACGCCAAACTGAGTGTAACCGGGAGACTATGGAGGTAGAAAAGCCGACGCAAAATACGACAGCAAATATCTACAGCAATAGTTTGCATCAATTTGAACCGACAGCAATGGCGATTGCAAAACGGACTCTTTGCGGTAAATTTTGCGAATTCCAAAGGGCGATCACCAAACACCACAATATCATCGTGGTCGTATATAAAGGTTGGTCAAGACTTATAGGATTTCACAACTGGCAAGTATTCTATCGGAAATTAAGAAATTGAAGACAATTTGACTCGTTCCCGAATCCACATATACAAATTCTTTTTCGTACTCAATTGTTGATGTGAGACCAAAACGTTATGATGAAGTTATGAAAAAAAATATTTTGAAGAACATAACATCCATCTATTCAGCGGATAATATTCTGTATCAGTCAAGTTTGAAGGTCATTGTTCTGCAGAACAATTACACGTGTTTTATAACAAAACAAAACGTGAATCAGCTAACATCGATTGGTACAGACACGAAAATTGATTCCATTCGCTCACTTTGTAGATGCGGAAATTGCACAACAGCGGGTATTCGCTGTACCAGCGGCGATTAGTATCGGGTTAGGATGAGTGAGCAAGCGCTTATAACATCTTCAAACCATCTGAGATCATCTTGCGCAGAAATTCATCTTCGCTGTTTATGGGATCATAATCACGCCGTTGAGATAGTGTGTTCGCGTGAATAACATCCCTAACGTGTGCAACAAAGCTGTACTCAGAGAAGGTGGCAGCAACTCAACCAGAGCCGTAAGATTATGTGCGACGATTTGGTCGCTGTTTGCAAAGACACGTGGCTCTTAAAATTCGCGAATTGCTGTTTGCCAAGAAGGTAAACTCAGAGCTTGTCAGGTATCTACTTCATGGCACATTATTCCTTGTTGAAATTTTAGTAACCCCTCTTAGGCTATCCTCCTCAACTATCGCTTAAAAGATGCTCAATCTCGAGGCGTCAAATTTTACCAGCCAACAGCACAGTCACTCATATCAAAAACAAAGTAGAGTGGTAAATTTCCGATATCCGAAGACTCGTTCTGATTAAAATGCACTTTCATTGGCGATCATTGCCCTACGACAACACCACGTCCTTCCATCCTAATTCGGAGAGAGGATACACCAATGCAACGTGTTTCTTGGTGTTTTATGGTCGTAGTTGAAAAATCTCAACAACGAATTCAATTGCTTTGAGCTCGTGGACTTTGGACAAGCACGACCAGACGCATGCTCTAGACACTTATATTACTACATGGACCTCGAGCACGAGAATTATCGATAGATAAGCATTACAAAAATTTGCTTGTAGCTTTTTAATTAATCATAGCGAGTTATAGCTGATGCAAGTGTCGGCATGAAGTTTTTATCGTTTCCGCGTCCTCAGCCTCGCTGTGGCACAGATATCAGCAAAATAACATGGTGAGATTGAGCAAGCGCTCCCAAGACGTGTAAACTCACTCGATTAAACGTAGTCGGAGTGCTCTTGAGACATCACCCGCCCTTCCTACAACACCCCGCTAAGGGAACTAGCAGTAGTGAGCGGGACAACCTCACATCTGGCAGGAACGCCGTCTATCGCATCAAATGCACTGAATACACAGACTCAGATATCGAGTCTTCGATCAATTTCCTGCGCGATCGGTATCGACACAGGTACGAAGTCGTTGTCGCATAGGCAATGCGCCATCGCTCTGTGGCTTTCTCGAAGCATAATGTCGGACTTGATTCTGACACATCGATTCTATTAAATGCTCTGCTGCCAGCAGAGCTAAAAAAATCTGTTGCTGGCTATGACAGAACCTAAGAAAGCATTACTACCGCATCATACAATACTTTGCGCCATGTACGGTCAATTTTGTTTTGAACCCCTCGAGCTAGAGGGGAGACATTATGAAATTATCAGAGGAGATATCCTCAAAATTTATTGCTATTGCAAGTGTATACACCTCATAGCCTGACTGTTTGTGTGCTTGAAGTCATTGCGCATTGAGCAATGTTCGCGCTAGGACAACTCACATACACCAACATGAGGAGTCGTATCTGTAGTTCTTGATGATTGGTGCATACACCAATTCTTGTCATGAGTCTACACCAACGGGTGCTACTCTAATTGTGACGGGGTTACACGTGCCCTTGTGAGAAAGAGCGGGTTGAACAATATTGTGCTACCATACATAGGTGTGTATGACACAATTAGTGAAATAACACAGTGGTGTGGCTATACGGTGACAAGAAGCCACCACGTGGCAGGGTTGCAAGTAGCAATGCGTATTACTATATTAGCTAGGTTTCGCTATATAATTCGATATTACTAGATTAATAAGGAAAACCTAGGGTTTTAGATATAGGCGGCTCTGCCGTATTAAAAACAGATAGATACAGCCTCGTTTTTAAAAAGAAGGGTTCGTTTGCCTTAGTAAGGCTTTAGTACTTTTTGCAATCCGCTACACTACTTCAGGTTCTTGGAAAGAACTAAGGTCGGTGGACTTAGCTTAGCTTCCTCCAGGCAACGAGCTACGGCAGCCCAGCTGCAGTTGGTTTCACTCGTAGTCAATCTACGCTTCAGTTGTTACGACAGATTCTCTGTGAGGATTAGATACTCCTATTTGCCCCAGGGCATGCAGGACGGGCTTAATCAGCTAGTGTCCTCGCTGAGAGCGTGGAGCACCTCGTTGCGCAAGGGCCGAAGCGATAAACGCGCGCCTAGAGGCGTTTTTAGGTTATGAATTTGCTCTGTTGGAGCACTTACAGCAGAAGCTTTCAGCGTTGACGGCATCTATGACGCCACCGTCGACGACGGATGATTTATTCCGACCCAGGACGCTCATGGTGAGCTTTAATACCTTTGAGGGTAAGAATGGAAAAAAGCATCTTCTCTGGGTGAGGGAGACCAAGCTGGCTATGGCAGCCGCCATGTTTCAATACGAGCAACAGCGCATGGTGCTAGCTATCTCCAGGCTCGAAGGCCGAGCGTGAGAATGGGCACTAACGTGCGGTGCTTCAACCGAAGCACCGCACGTAGTGTTCTTGTCGCCTAATCAGGCATATCGCGTGCATTCGTGTTTCTTTGCTGTCCGATAGGGCAAGAATTAATCGGTATACTTTATCCAAGAGTTGGGTGCTCATATTACCGCGATGGCAGCAGATCCTCTTCCCGAGGCGGTCGTAGTGTCCGTCTGGATGGAGGGCCTCCGCACTGGCGTGGCCAGAATGGAAGTCTCCGGGTGCATCCGATCTCTTTTTGAAGACGCGATAAACGTGGCTTGAATGCCGAATTCAACTTCAACTCGGCACGATTTGGCTGGAATGCACACCCTCAGAGCTCGTCGAGCGGGCCTGATCCAATTGACCTAAGCTATGCTGAGAAGGGAGAGCGAGAGCTCCGAGCTACTGAGCAGCGTGTAAACACCCGACGGTGTTTTGTTTGTGGAGACATTAGTCACCTTCGGACTGGTTGTGCCCTGCGCAAGGTGCGTAAAGGTTCGCCGAACTGACGTCCCGCTTCTAGCCAGCCTGGTATGTCGTGGGGAAACGAGAACTTCCAGTAGGCGCGGGGCGCCCTACTGGGGAAGAGCTGAGTTCTGTTGAGCCTGAACAGGGCCCAGTTCCAAGGAGCTGTGTGCTCTCGAACATGGATCGTGTGTGCAAGCCGGGCTTGCTGGTCGTAAATGCGACCGTGAAGGGCTTTGATAAGCCATGGAAAATCCCTATTGATTCTGGTGCGTCGGTCAATTATGCTCGACGCTCCGCGATTGAAGGATGTATGCTGAGGAGCTGGAAGTGCGGTTGAGTGACACCGTCACTGTCCGCTTAGCGACGGGGACTTGTACCGCTGTGCCGAGAATCCCTGTGGACCTCGGTGTCAAGCTCCTTGACTTTGATAGCATGACATGCTTTCGAGTTCTAGCCTTAAATGCAAAGCACGACCTTATTCTTGGTATGTCATGGTTGAAATACCATGAGCGATGGATTGATTGGAGGTCGAAGACCTTGGGGGCTACGCGCACGTCTCCGGATAGAGCTTTAGTGAGTCATGAAACTACCTCTGCCAAGAAGCAGAAGCGCTATTGGCGCAGGCACTGGACCGGGACGGTCAAACGTTAGATTTTAAAGTATCCAAGTTGTCGAACACTGAAGGTGTATCGAATAGATGTTCTGAGCATGGCTCGTGGGCTGAACTTGGAGTAGAACGCAATCCACTGAGCACTGCTCATGTCTCGAAGTAGTCACTGCATGTTATGCATCGTCAGGCGAGGTCCGAGGCATCGAGGGCGAGGTCCCAATGATGCAAGTAGAGTGGCACGTAGCCCACTAAGCACAGCTTACGTCTCGAAGCAGTCGCTGCATGCCACGAGTGGCATGGTCGGACGTGGTCAGAGGCATTTTGGGCAAGGCACTTCAGATGCGCGTGGAGTGGCTCGTTATTCACTAAACGAAAAACCGCGGAACTAGCAGCTCTTCATCGGATGTTATTAATGACGTCAAGGCTCTAGTGGTGCAGGAGTAGGGCGAACACTGGACGAGTATTTCCACTGGTCTCGCAGAGACGCACAACCTTTGTGGAGAGACGACGGCAACGCCGTATGCTAGCTGCAAGACACTGGGCGTCAACTTTGACCCAGGATGTGTCTATGGTAGACGATAGCGCACAGCTTAACCCCCTCGCAGCGGTAGGACGAGGGAGGAAGACGGCGACGTCACCCTCGAGGCTATTTCTGCGGTGGACTCTTTTTAAGCTGGACGAGATGACCTTCGAACAGCGTAGTGGTGCCTTATAGGCAGGAAGTTTAGCCTTCGAGGAGATTAACTCGTCGTTGCTTCTGGATGAAGCTGTACTAATAAGGTGCTGCACGCACGAAGCGGATCGTCAGGATCCTTCGGGTCCGTAATATCTTTTGTAAAGGAATTGCAAGACGTACCTGCCGTCGGTCCTACCTCCGGAACAAAGTGTGCGCCATGAGACTGACCTATTTCTGGGAACCAAATGCTGCGTAACACGCCAATGACCTCTGCCCAATGAGCAGTGTGATGTCATTGACACCTTTTTCCACGCAAAGCACGAAGCAGGAATGGTGCGTGGGTGCAAGTCTACCCACTCGACACCAACCTTTTGTGTCTGGAAGCCGAATGGCAAGTGGCCTATTGCTCACGTTTATATTATGCTAAACGCTGCCACCATTCTGGCACAAGCACCGATTCATAGGAAGAATGTTTTCCAGAACAATATGGTGGGCTGTGCAGAGTACAGCACACTTGACTTGGTCGATGATTATTACCAATTGCTCATGAGAGCGAGTGATATTTCGCTGACAGCGGTGAGTACTCCGAGCGCTCTGGAAGTGGCTGGTAATACCCCAAGGGCTGTCAAATGCACCACCAACAGCAGATAGTCTTCTGACGCAAATGTTCAGGCCCCATCGAGCGTATGCACAGACATATTTCGACGACATCTTCGCCCATGCTGTGCGGGGCACGGGATGACAGACCATTTGAAAGCGGTGCTCGAGTGCATGCGCACATATAAGTTGTATGCTGATGCCGACAAGTGCATCTTCGGCGCAAGAGAAATTTTTTTAGGGTAATCATTGGGAAGTGTGACCTTCGCGCGGACCCCGCTAAGGTTATGACCATTGTGGACTGGCCTTTCAAAGATCCAAAAGGACTTTCGCAAGTGGCTTGGTCTCGCCAACTACTTGCATAAGTACAGCGCAAATTATGTGGAAAGGGCACGGCCATTTTCCAATCTCCTTTAGAAGGATGTTGGGACACCGAGCATCGAGAGGCTTCTGATAGGGCCAAAGACAGCCACTTCATGCACCATTACTGGCGTTGTCAGAGCCCGATCATTTTTTTAGTGTCGTCTGTGATGCTTCGGACCTTGCCATCGGCTGTACACTGCTGCAAGCAGACGTCGAGGGCCGAGATCGGGTGACCGCGTTCGAATCTCGCCAGCTTAAGGCTGCGGAGAGGAACTACCTAGTCCACGACAAGGGATTTCTTGGGATGAAGCAGCACTTGTCAAGTTCAGGCTTGACTCAAAGCCGTTTGTGATCTATACAGTTCATGCGTCATAACGCCTTGCGTCTCAGTCGTCTCACCTCTCGCAGAGGATGGCTAGATGGCTGTTCTTCTTTGCAGTATGTAACCTCGAGGTGAAGTATAAGCCAGGAAAGCAGAATGCTCTGGCTAATACGTTGTCCCGCAGACCGGACTATGAGCTTGCTCATGTCACGGCGGTGACGTCTTCAGTGACGGATTGATCCGCGCCGCATACGCGGGTGATAGTATGTGTGTAGCGCTGCTACAGGCTGAGGACTTTGGAAACTCGGACAAGAAATTGTCGGCGTGTTTGCGCGCACGGTTACACCGATATTCGCTGAGTGATGGGTTGCTGTATTATAGCACCGATTCAACGATCACGCCATAAATTGTATTTCCTCACGATATGGATTTAAATACAGCATTCTCCATGAGGCCCACGACACCCCGCTTAGTGGTCGCCTCGGTTGTGCAAAGATGTACAGCACGTATGAGACGTGTCAGAGGATGAAACTCTCTCCAAAAGCGGCGGCACCGCTGACCAGTTTACCCGTACGCTTCGAATGTTGATAGTCCGTGAATATGGACTTGTGTTTGGCGTACCGAAGGATTCGGCAGGCAACACGGATGTGGTGGTCTTTGGGGACTGTTTGAGCAAGATGGCTCGTCTTGCGGCAGTGTCGGACACCATCGACGGTGTGGGTAAGCGACGCTGCTGCAAATCAGCAGCACTACCGACTCTCACGTCGAGGCTTTACATCTGTTTGATACTCTGCCGGTGGTGGTACCAGAGTAAGACACCCCATTCCTGCGGGAATGGGGTGTCTTCATTTATGGGAACAGTGGGGTTGAATATCGCGTGGCGTCTCGAACGTCGGTGCAGGTATCGAAGCGCAGCAATCGCGAGCAAATGATCGAGCTTTTACCGTTGAAACTTATTGCTCTTGCATTGAACTTGAGTACCATAGGGGTAGCAAGACGCTACGATTTCTCGATGTCATTACAAAAAAACAACTTAACCGCAACAGTTTATAAGTCATCGACCGACGGCCACTCACTCGCAATCGATTAGGTGCAAGAAATAACTCGTTCGACTCGATCAAAGAGTAATTTACTTATAATGGTCGTGTGCACGGACTACAAGGTGCTACCCGGTGTAACGGGCACAAAGTTCCGATTCTAAGCGAGCATGCCCTTATAACAACATAACAACCTCATATAAAGCTACTGTGATCATCGTTTTTTCCAAATCATCAAGTGGCGAGCACTCGTCACTTGATGAAAATGCACCGAATGTTGCGTCAAACTTGTTAGAGTGGTGAATATATTCACTGTGGGTGTACTTAGTAAAAGTGGTGTAACTAGCTCCTTCAACTGGCGCAACAATCAGATCACCTCGCAAGCGCTATGTCTCAATTGGTCTAAATTTTACTTGAAACTGGCGCTATTCTTTTTTGCGCCATCTTGGTTTGGCCGGGCGAGTGATTTACTCAAACTGTTTCTTCAACAGGACTTGCACTCAGAAACGCCACGACTTGATTGGTTGTGGAGGTTGTAGCTGGCAAGCTCGAAAAATTCGACGTGACTTATAAAACTTGCACACAATATGAGCAACAAAAGGTCACAATTTATTCCACGTTAACTGGTCTTATCTTATTCTCGATGATCAAAATATTCATTAAACAATAACTCACAAATTTCAATCAATGATAATGATCCAGTCAATTGTATGTCGCAATTGCAGAATATTCAACATATTTGTCCAAAAGAGTTCCTTGCCTTTTTATTTACTGTCACACGGCCTGAGCCACATAAATTGATATTAGCCAACGTTGCAAAGCTTTACCACAGCAACAAACGAGCGATTTCCGCCCCGTCATCAACTCCATCTACAGTATGCGTCATAGTTTCTGCTCATCATCACCAAAAAGATCCCACCAAAATATTCTACAACAAGACATTTGAATAGTTCAAACACTTTACTTTCCTCAAATTGACAATTATCTCACTATTCCAACGCTAGTGTAGCCGTAAGAGAAAAGTTGTGAAACGGCTGATTCTGGTTCTCGGTGGTTCTTTTGCTCGCCATAAAAAGTGTGTATCTATCGTACGTACCAACTTCCAAGCGTAAACATCGTGTCGTGATTATGAATCCGCTGTTTAATAGAACAGACACAAACAAGACAAAGGTTATCATGTTGAAGGCGTTGTCTGTCTACCAGTCTCTTGCGTTCCATAATCCTAGTCTTTTGACTTCGAACGACGTTGTAAAATTTGGCCATTTCGGGGGAGAGCTTTTGGTCCGCCATCTGAGGGTCCACAAATATTCAAACAGCCGGAGCTGCATAACTTTTGCACGTGTCAAGAGCTGCCATTACTGCTCTCAGAAGCTTGAAAATACCAACTTTTAACTTTTAATTCGTCGTGTTTAAACCTTGAAAACGAGCAGAATTCAAAACGTTAAATAATCTCACAAGTTCTGTTCAAAGACACACGTCCAGCAAGCGTATTTGTCCAGCTGGTCTATCACTCAGCATAGCATCGTCACGAAAGAGGCCTTAATGGCTTGTTGTCCTAATCTTTTGAGAAAAATCATACTGTATGAAATCTCTACAGTATTCTACTGTACTCTCGTGGCGGTATCGGCTAATTCATTAGCACGCTCAATCATAAAGATAATGAGATGTAGAGGCGCCGTCCTGATAATCTCGAGCACTCGTTGACGTTAAATCGCAAGACTGTGAGGTCCTAAAGTCTCTGCTGTCTCTCTTGATTGAGAAAACGGGACGACAAACAAGTCTTTTCGTTCAAATGAACTTCTTTATGCAGAAACTGGGCCGTGTGTGTGCTTCGTTGCGAGACATCCGGCGGCCCGGCTTAAACATCTCTACTGAATCCTTGTGCTACACACACAACCAGCACCGAAGTTCTACTACCGTATGTTTTTGGTCTTACCAGTGAGCCAAGTTTAAAACAGCGTCACCGAATCCCCCATCACCAAGCCAAACAAGATCAAAGCTTTGTAGCCTAACGTTCGTTACAGCAGACAACAAGCTCGTCTTGGCTTTGGAGCTTTTGCATTTCCGATTTTTCTCGGTCTAAGCAACTTTGCTTACCACGCTTGTCGTTTCCATGATAGCCACAGCTCGCAACGGCCCTACCGAGATTCAGTTCTCGAGCTTCCTAACGCAACTTAAGACACCACAGTCATCAGAGACCTCAATGCGATCAGAAGGACAATTGTGGTTATCACCTTCGAAATTTGCGACCAATTCATCGGATACAATTACATCGCAACCACTTCCAAGCTTTACACCGGATCATAATACCCAGCATTATTATGCTACTGCAAATGTATTGCCATCGCGACCGGTTAATAGTTTCTCCACGCCGACGGGTTACTACTCACAGCATGTTTTACCACTACGTGATCAACACACTACTACTTCGACGCAATCTTGGAGCGCATCAACTTTTAATACGGGTGCTTCTATGATTCCTAGTGATTTTCTACACCATCAACACATGCCGCAGCATCCAGCGCTTCATCCTTTGATACAACACAGTGAAACGATGCCGCGCCAGGATGATGAAGACCTAGCAATTGATGCGCAGATGCTTCGTGAAGTGCTTCAAGAGATGCCAACAGGTCAAACGCCTGTCGGTGCTCCACACACAACACAGTCGCGTGGACAGCAAATACCGGGTCTTCAGCTACTTTTTGTCTCACCTGTGCACTCAACAGACATGACTTCAGCTCCAGCGCAATCCCCCCCTTACTACAGCACTAGTATGGGCATGACAACGACACAAGCGGATATGCTACTTAATATGAACCAGACAGCATCGATTGCACCCATTTATGCTTCTGTGCAGACACAAGATCGGACACTAGCTGGTACATTGCCACTACCGTCAGGGCTTACGAGTGTTTATGATTCGCTTTCAAATGCTGAGGCTAATGGATTAGGACCAACATCTGCGCTTGCGCGTAAGAAGCGTGCGACAGCGCCGCGTATTTGTAAGATTGAAGGCTGTACAAAAGGCATTCGATCGCGTGGTTTGTGCAAGGCGCATGGCGGTGGACGGCGATGTACAACACCTGGATGTACTACGAGCGACCAGGGCGGTGGTCACTGTGTTCTACATGGTGGTGGCCGTCGTTGTCGCATTGAAGGATGTAAGAAGTCAGCACAATGGCGTGGTGTGTGCAAGATGCACGGTGGTGCCCGACGTTGCCGCTACGGTCAATGTACCAAGAATGGTCAAGTAAAACAAGGGTATTGTCGAATGCATCATAACTTGCTAACAGCTCAGCGTCAACAACAAGAACAACTACAAGCACAACAATTGCATTCGCTACATCAACCCCATTTACCCTCTGTCGTGGTAAAGCTCGCGACAGAAGGCATATAATTCACCTCCGGATCTCCGGTCGTACAACGTATGTTTGAAATTCCTAGAGGACAAGATAGCTGAACCATGGAGGAAAAAGACGAGGCGTGTATCAACCTAATATTCTAGTAAATCCTTCTTATAGCGTTTGCCATTCTTAACAAGTCTTTGATTTCACTCTTCTAGCAGTGAGTAATGTCGTGTCACACAATTCTAACTTATAGAATCTTGTCCATCATGTCATAATCAAAAGACGGGAGTGAGTGTCTTGTTGTTAAACGTCGTCAGATGACAGAAAGAGCGTCTTCTTTGGGCTTCCACAAGCTTCGCGAGATACTAATCAGCAGGAAGTTCAAGGACCAGGATAACGTGCCGGTAGAATCGTGTCAGTTATTTATGATAGCCACAGGTGTCTAAAACAACGTTTCTGATGCTATCAAGGTAGCAATACCAACGGTCTCTGCACTCTTTATTGGCTCCTATGGAGCTGCTACAAATCTTCAAGCGCTTAAGCAATCAGAGATCACGCATATACTCTGTGTCTCACCAACTCTACCATTGAAGTAAGTACATTTTTGGACGCAGACAATGCGTATATACTGATCGAGTGCGTGTAGATTTCCCGATGTGTTTACGTACTTGCAACTTCCAGTAGCAGACCAGCCGAATGGAAGGATTTCCATATACTTTGATAAAGCATTTCACTTTATACACAGGTGCGGGTAGTAATTCACGACTTTGTGTATGGAATTAATGTCTTCTTTAGTGCGTTAGCTTCTGGAGGAAAGGTGCTCGTGCACTGTTTTATGGGGCGATCAAGATCGGCCACAATAATTCTTGCGTATCTCATTGCGATTCATGACTTTACACTTACAAGTGCATTACAAGAATTACGACGAGTGCGACCTCAAGCTCAACCTAATAGTGGCTTCTACCAGGAATTAGTCTCCTTAGAAGCACGACATCGCAAAGAGAAACCGAAGACCAACCTTTCGTCTTGAAAAAACGATGAACAAGTTATGCGATCACGCATTTTTAATTAACAAAAAGGTAACAACTAGTCATTCTATCATAAGCTTCGTGTTGATCTTAGAACAAGTTCTACCTTTGTACAATATGGTTCATCAAATAGTTCATACTGAATCAAACGACTCTTTGGATCACAAGGAACTGTCAGTTGATGTCGAGAACTCGTCTGATACGCAGCAGCTTGTAGAGTCTGAATCGAAAGATCCATTACCATCTACAATTCCAACTGCTTCGACGAAGATTTTGTTTCTTGATGGCGTTCGAGGTTTGGCTGCCATTCTTGTGGTATGTCAACATTCTGGTGAATATTTACATGATCTCGACCTTGGTGCATGTGCTGTCGACACCTTCTTCGTCTTATCTTCATTTCTATTGACGCTATTGTTTTTAAAAAAGAGCATACGGCTATTTGCTCAGCAAGCAAGTTTTCGAACATGGAGCTTAAGTCTACTTGATTATTTTCAAAAGCGATTCTTTCGAGTGTATCCCCTTTTTGCTACTGTAGCTCTTTTCATTTGGATCTTGCCTTCGGAAGAAAAGAAACGATATTATCTTGTGAACGATCGAGATCACTTTGATCTGTTCAAAGTCCTCACTTTTAGTTTTTCTCATCGCTATTTTGTCTTTTGGACATTGCCATTGGAGATCTCGTACTACTTTTGTCTACCTGTTTTAGGAATCGCTTTTCTTCAATTAGGTCGCTTATGGTGGGTACCTTTCCTTCCATTGTATGGATGGATCATCTACGCGGGTTGGCATCAACGTCGATCGAGCCACTCTCCTTTGATGCCTCATTTCCCGACGTTTCTAGCTGGATCTTTGGCTGCGGCTCTGTTTCTCAAGTTTGACAGGTGGATGAGAACAGTTGGATTTAAGTTCAGCAAGGTGCACATTATAGCAATTCGAGCCGTCGAGTACGCTATGATTGCAATCATCTTGAGTGTCTGTTTCCGACGAAATTCGAATCCTGATCAACCTACTCAACCGACCATGATATTTCATTGGGTACAGCAGGAAGAGAAGAATTTAAAAGGATTTCCATTTATCAGTCTCCCTTTAACAATATTCATTGTGATTGAGATGCTGCTACCGTCTTGTTTCTCTGGTATCTTTGAGTGGAATGTGCTACGATACTGGGGTAAAATCAGCTTTTCGGTGTACTTGCTTCATAGTTTTATAGTCCGTAGTGACATTTACGGCAAAGATCCAAGTTTGTACTACGATCGACTCTTCGCACGCTTTGGTCTCATTCTCATACTCTGTACGGCTTCCTACCATCTTGTCGAATACCCGTCACAATTACTAGCACAGCATATTACTCGTATGCTTAACGCACAAGAATCAAAAGGCCTCGGATCTTCACCTCATCGGCTTTCATTTGATGCCAAACATGGTCGATTTCGAGCTCCAAATACTATTCAGAGTGCCTAGCGAATGACATGATAAATGTTCAATGAGCGGACAAATACAAGAACCTGGTGCGTACTCAATTATCGTATGCTTGTCCTACAAAAGCACTCGAAAACCTCAATGAATCTCAAGAATAAGGATGCCAACAAGACTTTATTCGACTTAACATTACTTCTCTTCAAGTCTACACCTTGACTGCTTCTACTTCCATCTCCACAATAGTTTCCGCTGCTTTCTCAGGCAATAGCTTGTTTTCAATAAACTCAGCAATCGAGTTCTCGTCCCAATGGGCCACACTGTAACAAAATCAGTATCAATCAGACTAGAGAAATGAAATACTATCATACATTTCATACCTGATCTCCTCAATCTTTTCCCCCTCGTCATCAAAGAATTGAAGCATAGGAAGTCGTGGATTAGTCTCGACTACCTCAAGTCGTTTGATTTGCTCTGCTTGGTGCTCAAGAAAGTTCGCTACTTTCGGATATCTCTTTAAGCGCAGTCGATTCACAACGAGTGCTACTTTTGAGTACCGACGTCCTTCCGCCTCCAAGACCTTAGAGAAATCAGTGCAACATTCTCGACATTCTTTTGTCACCGCAGTAATTGCTCTGTCGGTTTTCTTTTTCTTTTCTGGTGTAGCAGATACTAAAAACGATGATAGCTCGTCACAGAGACGGCAGTCAAGAGCATCAGTGTCAAATCCCAACGTTGTACAATGATGTAGACGTTCAGCAATCGCTTCAGGATCAGATGGAAGCTCAGAGGAAGACTCAGGAGCGTTCTGAGCGTGACCTGAGGCCACTAATAGCACCAACAACGTCACAAAGTGCATCGCTGGTGACGTATCACTTGAAATTGAGAATATTTTATTCGTACTATAAAAAAAATATTAATACTTGTCTTAAAATTTATTTATCTTCATTCTGTTTTATCAGAATTGGAGGTACTTATTAGTTTAGGGAAGGTTTGAGGCCTACTGATGTCACGTCGCCCTTTTCCTCCTCGTTCGTGTAAATCGACGGCTCGCTTGGGACGAGCAACACGCGATGAAGCGTGATAATCGATTTAGTTTTTCCTTAGTAAGTGCGTGTATACAGACGGGCAATTCTTGTTACAGGACAGATACAGATGAAAAGAAGGAGCAGTATAGTTGCACAGCTTGCTACTTCAACTTATCAACTAAAGCTAAGATCATGCCTCAGTCGTGTCCGAGCACTGTCATAGAGCAGTCTACGGGAAGTTTCATGCCTGGTGTGCGGTCGTGCACGCTGCACAATTTCTCGAGCAGCTGGATTATCGAGGGAATACACTAAAGAAAGATCCAGCGTGCCCAGGCCGAAGACTCAAATTCGATACCATTAGCGCCAGAATGAAGAATATAAGGCGGAACCGCACTCGATAGATATATTTTTGAATGTCCAGCGTACAGTGTGGAATAGGAACATAGTTTTTCAAGTTACTCGATGGTGTAAACATCACTGATACAATCTAGTTTCTTGATTGACCAATAAATACTCATGTTTTAGCGAAACGTCTCAACAAGTTCTGAGTGAACACAAGTCGCCAAATCCTAAACATCGAGTGATTCAAGCATCGACTCAAATTTATATACTTCGGTTGCTGGTCTATCCCATCAGCGACCTAACCATACAGAGAATCGGTATCGTGACGCCACTAGAACAAAACTTTCGCACATAGTGTCTGGAATGACGGACTCATTCATGATGGGCGATTCGCTAAGCTCCTACACTGGTACTTGGCGTACCAATTCGATAAAACCACCTTCTTGGCTTTCTTGCACACATCTTATATCGATTGTTCATCAAAATTAACGTAACTTTCTGCCAAACGAAATGAGAATTGCATTTTCTAGAACTACTTATGCCTCTCTTCGCATGAGTAAATAATTCTATCTCGTATAGCTTCACTGCTTCGCACGCTGGAAAGCTTGCTGACTCAGCAGCACTGCAACGTCGTAACGTGATTTACTTACGGTGTTACTGCAGATTGTTTCGATCTCTGTGAATATCTGCTTGAGTCTATCTCAATGATATTGTACCCAGCAGTGAAAATCAGTTCGGCCCATTGAGATCTGAAATATTTGTGCGTCTCATAGCGTGTTGAGTTATGCGGCAATATACTAGATTTTCTGCGACTGCATGTATACTAATGCTTTATGAAGACAAGCCAGCAAGTGAGTACACAAGCTAAACGAGCAAATTATTTCACTTTGTAAAAGAAGACTTGCGCAGTCTGACTCTATCGCTAATGGTGGCTGCAGATAGCTCAAAGTCAAATGAGACGTTGCGCGGGGATATGATGCAAATTTGTTGGCTATAATGGGCCTTCCGGTGTGCATCAGCAATATCTCCGAATGACTACAGATAAAATTAATTGTGGTGACTCGCTTTCTGGGGCAACTTGGCATTTACTACACCAATGCGTATAAAAAGAAAAAGGTAGTCTGAGATCCGTTGATGTGATACATCAGATGAGCGTAATAGCAAATTGATATGTCTCGGATATATATGTGGACAATATATTGACTCCGAATTATTAGTTCTGACACTTAATACCGAGTTCAGCACTTGAGGCGTCGGTATACCACAACTTAATACGATCCCCTTCACAAACTCCCCCCGCTAAGACGTGTGCAGCTCTTCTTACAAAATCATGCAGGAATTAAGTTACACGAGCTCCCACTAGACACGATTGTGCATATTCAACCTTCCAAAATGATCTTATAAGCTTCTCGCACTCGGAGTCTATTTTCCTTACCCTTCCACATAGTTATGTGAGTTTTCGAGAATGGTGTGGCGCTAACCGATAATTCTCGGGCTATATTTGGTCAAACAACCATGGTGTTATCCAGTGAGAATGGTCATAGTGACTCTCCCAGTCCCGACCCGAATCCTTCTTCCTCATCAAAAGTGATACTTTGTCTGACTAGAAGTACAAGTGTCCTAACGAATTTTGCCGCCTCAACCAGATGTGATTATGGATTGGATCCAATTATGTTGTTTGCCATGCTGTAACGGACCTTCAACACGCCTATGCGTGCGAATCTTTCGCTCAAATTGAGAAAGAATTGAACGCCCTATCACCACTCAACTCGTCGCTTCTAAAATGTAGTACTTGTGCCAAAAGCAGTTGCAGTTGGGTACTTCCGTTCGCTGCATGGTAAGGCTTAACGCTAACAAAAAGCCGAAAAGTATCATACTGCACACTTGGTAAAAAGGGACGTCAGCTTGATGGTCTTAGATAGTTGCAGCAAACAGATGTAACTGGAACTTCATCAAGTTGTTGACCTTATTAGATACATACCAAGACGCGGATATTGAGGTAAACAGTAACCATATTGACTGCTTGCCACTGTTAACCTTTATCATCTCCATAATTTTGCAGGCACAGCTACTGACCAAGGCTTTGTATCGATACAGACTGAATTTAGCTGCGAAAAGGTCTTACTCCTTCATTCGCATCAGATGGCTCACATCAATATAGAGCAGATTTTAATCCAGCTTTGGGCTGTTTAGATTATCGAATGAAGAAATAGGAATACCCCCTTTAAAAACGGAGATGAACTCCAAACGTTATTCGGATAAGGTTGTCCTGGCTTCGTTGTCGCTAACAAGTTGATGCACTCTTTTGCTTTATCTTCAACGGAGAAGAGATAGGGTTGCTCAGCAATTTGCGCTTCCTACTTATTATGTGTGAGCTATCTCGGTGATGGCGAAACGAAACATAGACTCTCTCTGCTAATATTATCTGCGTTCGTTGCGTACCCCAACACCTTTCTGACGAGCTCGCGGGCTATACAATTTAATCAATTTGGGTAGAGGCACCCCAGGTCGTTCAATACCAAGTTCGACCGACGATAGCACAGAAATAGATACATTGGTATGTCATCAATGCACTAAGCGGCAAGTAAGAGCCAGCCCCCATCCTGTTTATATTACCTGCATATATACAGAAAGGTTCGCAACCTCTCATGAATACTACAACGGTTTTGTCATGCATATTGCGTAGAGGAATTCTTGACGCCTAGTGGTTTGTTGACAAATGCATAGAGGTTGGTTACTACGCTCGTACACTTGTGTATGTAAATACAACCCTTCTTATACAAATGGGTACAACAATACATCTATAGAATATAAACGCTCTTAGACCAATATTCATGTGTCGGTCACAGATTCCTTTATAACTATAATGTCGCTATATTCCGATGTGCAGCTAGCCGCCTTGTCCATCACAAAATCAGGTACATTAATTCATCATCTTAATCAAACACAGATATATCGGTATATTCACGAACACATCAAAGTGCAATATGAGTTTTGTACAGCCGTAGAATATTATATACAAAAGTGACCAATGTGCAGGGTGTTCGTACACAAAATTTAAGTCCTTATCTCGGTACTCCATTCCCACTAATGTGGACCTCACTGGGGTTCAAACTTTGCTATAAAAATGATAGTGCTCAAAAATGACAGCCCCTCAAGCAGCTACTACGATTGGGCCCAAATCTATCCTCTGCAACTTTCATGCTCGCTCCTTACAGCATATTTGCAACATGAGTGCCGTCATGTGCAACCAAATAGATCTTTTGACGAGTCTTTAAGAAAATCACGACTTCGCGACCGACGCACTTGAAGGTAAGGATGATTAGAGTTCTCCGATGTATACGGTCACATTGACTCTATGATTTCTGGCCAAATACATCTGCCTTCACCCCAACGGCACATTGCCTAACCGATTACAAAACAGGAGCTGCACAGCACGACCAGCCTCCCCACTGCACGAGTCTCGCGCCTCGTGTCCCTCTATTGGCGGAAAGGAGTTGCAACACCTCGCTGTGGATCTCACGACAATATCCAGCTTGTCACCAACAAGTTGGACCTGGCTTGAGAAGCTCATCTCTTTTTACGTCAAGCTCAAATGCCACGTAGGCTCTTTTTAAAAAAATCTCCACGCTGAAATAACGATTTTCAGGCATTCCTGAATGGCTTCTGCACTGGTGCGAAGTTCCTGTCCGACTATGCATGTGGGCATTATGCTGACAACAAGAGCGAAGCGAGAGAAATGCTTGTTTTGCAAGCGCATTCTCAATCCGCAGCTTCTCTCTCACCCGTCCGAATCACGGTCAACGCCTAGTAGGCCTTTATGCGTGGTGTACCTTGGGTAGTTGAAACTGGTGAAAGTATTGATGTATTTAAACTCAGCTCGCGCACCGAGGGTAAAGCACGCCGTATAAACTGGTTTTGGGCCTTGCAAAGCATATTTAGCGAAGTAGACATTCGACAAGAATGCCGGCCGATTCTTGACTTTGCAAAGTATAAAGCGCGACACGGGAGTAAAAGTGACTACCCGCCGACTCCAGATCCTGGTGTTTACCCATCCGATTGTCTCCTTACGACGACTGTGACATCTACTTACACAGTTTTTGGCTCATCAAAACGTCGATCTCCATCCACTTGAGGGCAGTGTGCTGTGACAAGCGGCCCAGCCTCTTCTTAAAAAAAGACAAAGACCATGCGTGCGTAGGCAGCGATGGCACCAGTGCAATCGTGCCGACGCGGTATTCCGAGCTCTCGTGTGCTTTAAGGTCCTCTTTGCGAGACACTGATAAGGTTCCCGCCGCCCCACAAATGCGCTATGTAGACTTGGGTCATTATATGATCATCGAACAGACTCAATACTCCCAATTTCTGTCCGGAGCACCAAACAAACGATTGCTATCAATTTCGGACAATCCATCTTCAGCCTGATATCCATCGCAGCATTGTGTCCGCGCCAAAGATTTCGTAGAAGAAGGATCAGGTTTCACAAAATCCCATCAGGAGAGAAGTGCGTGAAGCCAAAGATTTTAGAATCCCAAGCGAGCCATGGCTCATGGCACCACAGCCATGCCATAAGTAATACGAGTCCTGAACTCAGGTCCAGAACAGAAAAGTCGTCACGCCGTCGATGCTTCCAAACTCTAAATGACGAGTGTCATATAATCTCCCGCATGTCCCCGCCGCAAGACGCACGCATATCGCAACCGTTTTGGTACCTACAATGCTTCTCGACATTCATGTGCCCTACACACGATTTTCCTGAGTCTATCGTCTGTCTCTTTCACAGAAAAGCCCTATACTGAGCTGAGTCTCATTTATCACGACCGCTATGATATACATCTCAGAAGTCTTTCCTGCACCTGCTGTGATTTTAAAATTTAACGCGAGGGGTTTGTCAGCCGCCTCTGCATGGAAGTTGGACGTTTCATATCCCTTTTTTGAGAACGACGGGGGCACGCAAGGCGCAGATGCTTTGCACTTTTTCACAGATGCAAAATCTGCAGGTATTTCATGGCTACGATTCAAATTTTTCGCTCGCGCTCACAGTGGTAGTCATTTAGTAACACACTCAGTTTTCGTGGCACCGACGCTTTACTTCACATTTACTACAAGCATTTCCATTTCTTTGAGATAACTTTTTGTGAATGCGGGAGTTCTCGGTACAAGCCGCATTCATTTGGCGACACACTATGAATCTTGTAGACTTTGCCGATTTTGGAAGAGAGTCTGACGCTATTGTGAATGTAAAGATACTTACATCTGGTCGTCGTCCGTTGATTCTCACCCTTTTAAAGCGTGGTCAAGAACATCAAATGTAGCCGATACGCCTGGTTAGGCGATGCAATTCGATTACCCCATGTCAAGTAATCATTTTTGGGAGACTCTGCACATTATTGCTCATTTTTGTGCGTGGGGTTCTAGTTTAGAGACTGCAAACCTAGCTCTGTTAGTGCTCTTGGAGTCCAGTAAAATTTATAATCATCTAAACATCCCTAGGTCAGGACACTTAGCCTACTCAGTGGCCTCATCAGTGGGTACCATCTGTTTTTCCACTGACGCCCGGCTGAAGCGCGTAAATTTGTGTCGCTGGTATATTTTCGAAGCTGGCGAAAGCTTTCAGGCGAACATTTACTGTTTTCGGCTTTTGGACAGCGCTTTTTGTCGAAAACAGCTATAGTATAGACTCAAGCATATCTAAAGGGGTTGAGTAGCATAGGGATAAAAGCTCAAGCACTTCTTGTACTACTCGCAAAGAGCGCAGTCCTTTAACGCTAGACTCGTGATAATTGCAATTGTTACCAAGTATAATGGTTCTGTGCACTTTGATCCATACGAAAATTGACAATGATTGTCTGCTCGAACAAACGCGAAGTGGGGTTTGAACGCTGCTACCAAAAGCGAAACCTAGAGCTAACTACGTGTCTAGTCAGCTTATCTGTTAAATAACGCATATCAATTCTTGATTCTATCAAGAGTAACTCTCAATATATACGCTGTACTTCCTCAGCAGACCTCTCATTTTCAAAATTCCAACATCATGAGAGACACAGATAATCCGGTACTTATGGACTAATAACAATTACACCAAGCTTGAATATAAATTTGGACATTTGTCTCAAAAAAAATGACAAAGGTGTTTCGTATGGGTACACAAGATTGCAAAGCTTTCTCTGTTATAAATAGTAAGATGAGAACTTATTTCTTTTCTGGCTGCAACCGGAAATGTTGAATGTAGCGAGGCCACAACTTTGTCATACAGGCAGAAGACACTGCCTGTGCAGGTATGTCAACAGCGTCTTTCCATTCACTTCGGATTTTCGCCTGGCTTAAGCATCTACATGTCGCGTTTTCACATCATGGCTCTCAAGAATAGCATCGTGCAACGGTGCACAACGTATTATCTCATCAAAATTGACGCTTCGTTTTCGATACAAAATGTAGCCAGGCTGATGGTTGCATGCCGAATCAATTAACTGTGGCGGCGTCAAAGGCACCTGCCGTCTATCAAATCATCAGTGTATTAGGGGCTGAGGCAGCAAAGATATTTACGGTGATATTGCACACAAACTGATTGAGTGAAAGCAAGTTTGCCTTAATATCGCAATGTCTCCTTGCAATCTTCATTAAATATTTCCTCACAGTGCAAGAAACGCATTCCGCCTAATCATCCAGGAAAATCATCGGTGGACATAATCAATCTGGTGTACAGTCTTTTCAATAAAGTCTACCTGAGCTTAGCCGTAGAGCTCAGATCTCTATTCAAAACAATTGTCACGAAGACGTGTCGGACAATTTTTTATTGAGCGACTGCTTGGCTGGGTCCTTACCGGTAACTTTATCGCTACGAGCAGAGATATGAGCCAACTTGCTCAGATGGCTCGCAAAGAATACTATGCTGGCTGGTAATATCGAACGCATCATTGGGGACCAAAAGTGATGTCAAAGCTTATTTAGTGCCAAAATTGTTCTAGAGCCGGCATACTAATAAAAAGCACCGTCGCACGCAGCCATTGAATGGTTTGAGCCATCTCACATAAATGCTTATCTATCTGTATGTTTTGGGTCGTTCTTACGGAATTCTTGCTAAAATATATTTTCTCTCAAGATTGCCGCAAAAGATAAGCTTGTGCTTCGTCCTGTACTCGGAACTTGCCACACGTTCAGTGTCAAGGTCAGGACGGTAGTACAAGAAGCCTCAAAATATGATATATCAACTCAACAATCTAGCCAGATGTTTTGATAAATGTAAGCTCAAACCCACCTCGCTTACCAAACATCTCGCACTACAACACATATTGCATCTGACCCGCACGCTATGCATTGCGTCATGAAACGTCGTCACCACCATGTGATATAACATGTGATCGACACAAAGGTGCATCTGCCAATCAAAAGAAACAATCACCTTGTCACCATGATATTTGTTTTGAAAAAGATCTGGCGTCGATCGATGTCTGCGAAGCCGCACGATCTGTAAAAAACATGAATGGCTTAGATGCGAGTAGGTGGACTCTGAGGCTGACAGGAGCATATTAAATATGAAGTAGTTTTTCTCGAGAAACAGACTGCTCTTCCGTGCTGCTTTGGGCTGGTAAGACTCAAACATGAATACGCGTATATGATCATCGCCATCTAGTTGGATTAAAGCACTGCCTACGACAAAGGCCGAACCGTCTCAGGCGATTTGGATTCGATATGACCGAAAACGACACTTTCATGAGACATTCGTGGCCTTGATGACTATATCCTCCGCATCTTTACATAACATAATCTAGAACGAGACTTGGTGAGTGTCGGCACAATTTACACCAACTTTGCTAGTCGTGGTCTTACCAAGCTACTGTCCTAAGTCTCATTAGTACGGCTGTACAGGTCATGCCGCTATAAACTTGTTCCTATGCGGAATCTGCGTGTGGCACATACTTTTTATTAAGCTGTTTCAAAAGAGATAAATATTAATCAAAGATGCAATTTTTCGTGTTGGCGAATAGCATAATGTAAGAAAAAAGCACATACATCCAAGAGCTACTCGCAAGTGTTTGATGTAGATGTTCACATCCGATTCTCCGTGCTGTGGGTAGCGGTATGTACATTGGCATCATGCAGCTTAAAAAGATGTGTCACTAGGCGATCGAGCGTCACTTATACATTAGACAATCCCTAGGATTCTGGTCACTTCCACAACATCCCATCCGGTGTACTCACTGCAGTAAGAAAGATGCTACTTTCTCAAGAGCGCAAACGATGCGATTCCGCTGTGCTGCAGAATAGTATGGCTTCAATTCGGCATTTGTGCGTGAGCGGTGGCAGCGCTTTTCTTATAACAAGCTTGCACAATTCGCCACCTGCTGTTAGACTTTCTGACACAGAAGATAACTACCGAGTGAAGAAATACCACTCTCGTTTTGTGCCGAAAATTAAGCATCGGCGCTGTCATATCATAATCTTCTTTGGAAAGGACTTATCCATGACGAATGATGAGACCAGATCGTTCTATGGTAGTAATTGTACCGCCTGAGTATCATCATTGACTTGATTATCGTGCGAACATTGCCTAGAACACTCCTGATGATAAATGGAAGAATGTACTCGAGGGTAATGAGAGGCAACTTCCATCACTATATCTATCTCGGTCACATCTTTCACCACTTACTCCAGGAGTTACTACTCCGCAACCTTAGCGTGTCAAAGTTAGTTCAGCTCAGAGAAATTGTCACTCTGCCAAATATCTGATAGTGAATTAATTTACTTTTCAGCTCGTACTCCATTCAGAGCGAAAACATGAGCCTTCTAGACAGCTGAGTATTCAGTGCTGCATTTAAATCTCGAGACTAAGTCATCGCAAACACTGGTACAAATGACGAGAATGGGATAACTATATCGTAGTGATATGGTATTATAACTTCATGTTAAAGGAATTCTTGAAGCTTCTCGCTCTGACAAACTCATTCACGCTGGTATATCTAATCCCTTGACATCTACGGATATAGTATGCAGACATTTTCGAATAATAGTCACCCTGTCGAAACTTATCAGGTATCTAATTCTACAAGATTTTCTTCTACACCATCAATCACAATGCTAAAAAGCTTCGTGCTTACACGCCATGTACGGCCTTCTCTCCTTCACGTCACAACGTTTCCATCTCGTCATCTACTATCATTTTCCACTTTAATTACCGATAATTCACCGCTCATTTCAACTGATAAAAAGTTATCGAATTTGTCAATTCATGTGACCCCAGCAGAGGACTCACTCTTTTCCTTCCTTGAGTATATTCAACGATTGTATACTCCAAAGACACAATTACGAGTAGCTGGTGGATGGATTCGAGACAAATTACGAGGATGTGAGAGCAAAGATATTGACATTGTGCTTGACAATTTAAAGGGTGCAACGTTTGCTCGGTATATCACGAAATTCCAACGAAGTCGCAGGTTACCACTCAGTTCTGTCGGTGTCGTCAAGGCAAATTCCGAGAGATCAAAACACTTGGAGGTTGCAACTGTAAAAGTTGAAGGATTTACAATTGATTTCGTGCATTTACGAAAAGAAGATTGCAAGGTTGACAATTGTAATTCCAAAGTTACGTTTGCATCGCCAGAAGATGATGCGAATCGACGAGACTTGACGATCAATGCATTGTTTTTTAATCTTCACACGCGACTTGTAGAAGATTTTACAGGAAAAGGAGTGGAAGACATCGAAAAGGGTATTATACGCACACCGAAAGAGCCCAAACTAACGTTTTTGGACGATCCGTTGCGAGTATTAAGAGCTCTGAGGTTTGCATGTGAGTTTGGATTTACGTTGGATCCAGCACTTGAACATGTGGTGCTAGAACAGCGAGAGATTGCTATCAAATTGGCTTTAAACGTCAGTCGTGAACGTATTGGTATCGAAGTACGCAAGATGCTTGCAGGTAAAGACCCTACTGAATCGTTTGAGTTGCTAAGGAAGTTTCATTTATTGGATCTGGTATTCAATAATCTGATTGACAAAGAACGTAGAGATGATGGCATATCGCAGTGTACCCCACGAGAATGGACCGAGTCGATTCAGAAGCGCGCTTTGCACTGTCTAAAGTATCTACAACACAGTCGACTAGCACTCGCCAAGTGCGCGATCTCGAATGTTGAGGCGACAGCTGCGATCTTTACACCGCTGTTTCTACGTCAGGTTCCTATGATTATTTATGATGAACATGTGAACAAGACTTTGGATAGTTTCCAAGATATTACGGAGCGAGAGATAGTCGAGAGTTCACTGAAGTTTTTGACTTCTCGAGATACTATCAAAGCAAAACTTGATTTGAATGAAATTGTAGAAATGCTGAAAGTGAATGTGAAGTGGCCGAAGCCTGCAGGAAAACGTGTGGCTTTGATCATAGAGGCAATAGCGACATATCCAGAAACTTTTCAGGATGTTCAAGGCCTTGATGCTGCTAGGATAAGCATCCAGCATTGCATTCAACAATTTATATGGATGACAAAGTATCACTCAGTCATTGTGCCTGCTTTAACCATCTTGGTCTCAACTTGTACTTTTGAGAGGGAGATTGTCGATGACGAAATTTTAAAGATGCAAGAAAAGATGCTCAAGGCGTATTTGGATATGGCAAAAACATACGCTCGAATTAACAGTGAGACATCAAAGAGGATTGAGAGTCAGCGTCAGCGTTTAGATGGCAAGACTATCCAGGAACGATTTGGTCTTGAATCTAATCATGAAATCGCAAAAATTCTGAACGTGCTACAAGTTTGGGAAAAGATTCATCCAAATGCAAGTATTGAAGAGAAAATCATGTTCGTAGATCGATTACGACCTCAATTACGCTCTCAAGAAGATACTGGAACTTGAAAAGTGATGAACGTAGATTTTAATTTCCAAATTTGGAAACGAAAATATCATTTGATACAAAAAACTGACTTTAATACAGAATTAAAAACTAATATTCTTGGTTTTACTCACATGACTGACTGTATAACTGTCATACATTTAGTTTTCAAAAACAAAGTTTGAAGGTTTTTGATGCCGTTCCGATTGAATTTCAAGATCACGTTTTCGTGCACTTCGTTCTCGTCCTCGATCACTACGAGGACGTTCACTTCGATCTTTACGTTCTCGTCGTCGTTCGATATTGTCATCACGTTTACGTCTCGATATTTTCTCGTTTTGATCAGGTTGTCGAGATCGATGTGAATTTTCAGTTTGATCCTCACTTAAAGCAGCACGACGACTTACTTTACGTACTGAAGGAGGCTGAAGTGGTTCCAATACAGTAGCAGTACGACGACTTGACTTGATTAAGGAAGCAGGTTCATAAGTTCCAGCACCACATACTTCTTCATCAGAATGTAGACTACTTGGTGCATAATTTGGATGAATATGTGGAACACTATGCCGTTCATCAAGAGTTTTTTTCTGTCGATTTTGACTCTTTCTTCCACCAAGCATTGCAACGGATGGAGTACTTTGTTCAGCATGAAAGCCATCTGCTTTTGTATTCAATCGCATTCGCCACACTAAAGCAATGACAAATAAAAGAGCAAGTACACAAATGACCAAAGCCCCAATCATCATCCACGGTTGCCAAAATTTGGAATCCCCATCTCCATTTGAACTCACAGACGTCGAAGAAGGTGTTGAAGACGCAACAATGGAAAACTTTTGTCCACTTGTTGTTGCATTCTCTCCTGCTTTCACACTATGACCTCGTACAACCGCTTGAATATAAATAAAACCCTCTTTCACAGTCACACCAGCTTCCATGACGGCAACAAGTGCATCGTCGTATGAGACTTCAACCATCTCGACATTATTCACGGAATCGCGTGAGCCATTTCCAGACAAGGGATAAATGATTTTGGATGTATTGGCAATTTTAAGGGTCAGATCCAAGTCGTTCTGCAATGTTGTCTTGCTTCCAACAGATCCAGGAGGATCCGTCCATACGATCGTAACACGAAGATTCACATTGACTGTTAACATAAAATGAAATGTCACTTCACTACCTTCTGTTACGCTTGGTTCGGATCCAGTTGACGAATTTGGAAAAAAGTAGATTGTATTAGATCCACCGGATGAAGACGAAGAAGACGCTTGACTGTCATCCATAAACGTTACGAGATTCAGCATCGTTGGTTTACCGTATCCTTGGCTGTAATCGGGGTACGACGTCAGCGTCTTTGCGGTAGCTTCAAGAGCCACACAAGATGTAACACCGGTACTTGGCTCTATTAGACGACGAGACATGGCTTCTCCACTATGGAGCAAAAGCGCTTTTATCAATGATGCAGGGATTGTATCCATACCATACGTGGGATCTGCTACGCCATTTTTCCACCAGCCATCACGTAGCCATTCATAAATCAGAACAGCCATACCAGCAACTACAGGCGTAGCTTGAGACGTTCCTTGCAACGAACATACAGCCGAAGACTTGACTTTTGATCCTGGTTTTTCAGACTGTGAGGAAATAACAGACATTCCAGGAGCAACAAGATCTGGTTTCTGTCTTCCGTCAAGTGTAGGACCAATAGAAGAAAAAGACGCGACTGTGCGTTCATTAAGAACGGATGGACATGATGTAGCAGAGAAAGATGCTGCAGCATTTAGACTTGCACCTACCGAAATGACATTTTTCGCGCCGGACGGGCTACTGATTGTATGATCACCTTTTTCGCCGCTATTCCCTGCTGCTACAACAATGAGAATCTCTGGATTGTCGTAAATATATTCATCCACTTGCTGCGTCTGCGCGTTGTAATCATTCGCGCCTGTGCCCCACGAAAACGAAAATACTTTGGCACCGGCAGCGACTTGTGCTGCCATTAAATTCTTCACTTCACCAGGAGTTTCAAGCGATACATCGCATCCACTTTTTCCAGCACACTTGGATTCTTGTTTTCCAATATCCATAAATGCAATTCGAGCACTGGATGCAATCCCAAGATCTCGATTTTGCCCTGTGTACGAACTTCCTGCTACAATACCAGACACGTGTGTACCGTGACCGCACGTTACATCTTCCGATTCATCGACACTGTTTGCAAAAGTTTGATACGAAACAACTTTGCGTGCTGTCATGTCCTCATTGTCGTACATTTTGCGAGAATCCTGGTCAAATTGGTCGTGATCAATATAAAGACCAGTGTCTGTGATTCCAACAATGATAGAACTACCGGTAATATTGTGTGCCTGCATGATATCTACGCCGACAAGATCCTGTAAATATTCATCAAGTCGTCGACTCGTGTGCTCTACTGTCTCTATCGATTCAGACACATCCATATATTGCTGACGAAGTAGCCGCTGCTCCAGTGCAAGTGTTTTAAGAGCACTCGTTGTGACAACCTGTTGCAAATCCACCCACTCGACAGCTTCGTCATCTAATATAATCGCCAGAGCTTGTGTCCACGTATCATAATCATCCACTGCTGCTTGTTGCAAGACTCCACCAATTTCTGCTGTCGATTTCTTCATTGTAATTAAATTTTGAATCCCCGTTGCTCGAGTGACATAAGTTGAAAGTCTTTTAAATGCTTGTGCAGTGTTAACAACCTTAGCCAGTCGAATTTCAAGAGGTGGTCCTTCTTTCTTTTCACTTGAGACTCTTGAAAAAGCATACGAGCTTTTTGCAAATGGCATGAGTTTTAAAATTGCTGGTAAAACAGTCACACTGTCGACACAATCGAGTGCTAATATATTATCACCTACAGTCGCACTAACGTGCACAAGCATCACGGTTGCTGTAGTTCCACTCTGATCACTTCTCGTTAAAAATGGTGTGTGACTCTCACTTGTAGCAGGCCAAATCGTTTTAATCTGTTTCAAACACTGAAGCTCTTGACTTTTTGTGTGCAGCTTGATCAATGTCGGTTTGATCTCCATTTGATCTTCTTCATCATCTAATTCAGCAGAATATTTAGCTAACAATTCTTTTTGTAAAAATTGAAGTTGACAAGCATCGTATGCTGCATTTTCACCAGATAGCATAGCATCATACGCAGTACTAAACGAATGATAAAAGTTCGCAAATGCATCAGTTTCTGGATCACCAATCGATAAGGTCACATCCGTCACGCTTGAACACGAAACGACACTAATAATTGTCACGTCCTTACCATCTTCACTCGCTCCATGAACATCTCCAGTCACTGCTGTTTGATTTGTATGATTTTGATTCTCAAACGAAAATGCTGGTCGTAGTCTTCGTTGCGTTCGATGTCGTGAAGGTTCTAAAAGAAATGATCCACAATTACTTTCGAAACATTCAGACGTTTGAACCAAATGACGATAGGCCAATGCTACGTGTGATGTACTGCAGTGATACGCACAAAAAGCTTCTTGATCAATAAATTGTAATCCTCTTCTATCAATCAAATACGACGTGGTTGTGCGTAGTAGTGTCAAGACCAAACCAAAGAAGAGCATGCGTTTGGTCCGACGCAGCAACATGCCAGCTAAAGTCTCTGTGCTTAACTTGCTGTCCTATTGTACTACAGTTGCAAGTCGCCATACGGTCGTCAGGCAAAGACACCTACCTTTACCTATTCTTAAAGCTTTAGATGGGAACGTCTGGCTTTGCTCATACTGTTGTGTGGACGTAATTTGGACTCGAATATTATAGAAAGAGTAACCCATACAAAACCGGATGGAGTAGAAGTAATGAGCGTATAATCGTGCAATTAGTGGGGTTTTCGTTTCTTAAGTAACATTGCACACTATTTAGTTTGGGTCAAATGCTAGATTTATGGGGGTAAGATGCTGACGAACTATTATAAGTTTCTAAAAAGTGTTTTCTCGTGAAGATGGCTTGACTCTGAACATAGGCAGAAACAGTGTTGTTTGTACAAATGTACTTCGAAGGTACTGTAATGTTGATGATACAAGCGAACCATTTTACTTACGGATGGCAAAATGGAAAGACTAGTTATACCTGTGAGGAAAATATAGATATGTTCAGAATAGTCATACTTGATTCTTGAATATCAGAATTTTTATTATCAATGATTCCATTTTCTAAACAACGCAGCAATTTCACAATTAGAACAGATTATTTTATCAGACGTTATCGTTAATATGTAGCATTTATAATGTTCGTGAAGTATGACACCAAACGATGTCAGTATCTCGTGCATTTTCTGAATTATTAGATTGAAAAATCTCACGAAACACATCGATGTGTAGAGTTACGTTGCTCGATATTACAAAACAAAGCAGGAACGAAGTATATCTATCCATTATGTAGCCACAATACGATATAGTAAGCATCTACAATATGCTGGGTGAATAAATCTATAGACACTACGCAATTTGTATTTAACATGGAGCTACTGATTCTGCAGCTTCTATAGTAGAGAGACGTGGATTGGCTTAAAAAGGACCAATGTTGTGCTTCCTTTTGAGCGTACGTTGGCTTCTTGATTTGATTAACATGACACAGCAGACCACCAGAGCAGAAATTCGCAGGTAGAATGTTGAGGTATCGTCACAAGATTGTGCTTTATGCATGTAGATGAAGACATGGAATTTTCACGAATTGCAACATTCAAGTCGGAAATTTTACGAACTTTCGCATTGGTTTTTGAGAGTTAAATATATTCTGAATTTAATTTTGATATGTCTAGAAATTATAAACTCAATTTTACTCTATATAAAATACTCAGTTTGGCCCAGATATCAGATATGATACCAATTAAACCATATACAACCAATCACCAACGCTTAAGCTATGAAGGTGCGCATATATGTCGGCGGTCTACCACTGGACGTCACAAATGTAGAGCTACGTGAGCGTTTTGGTCGCTTCGTAAGCGACACAGTAGACTGTCAGCTAACTGACGTTGATCTAATCAAAGCAAAGTCGATCACGACCGTGACGTCTTCTCCTGAAACGTCTCGTGGGTTCGCGTACTTAACGCTTGAAGGTGCTGCCGCCGAAGCTCAGAGCGAGAAGTTGCAAAAGACATTTCACCGTACAAAGTGGCGTGGTTCTCTACTGAAGGTACAGCTGGCGAAACCTTCGTATCAATTAAAACTTCAACGTGAGTGGGAGGAGGAAGCGGAGAAAAGATTGAAACAAGAAGAGAATCGATTACGAAGACAACAGCCGGTGAATTTGAATGAGTTCAAGCCATTAACGTTGTCAATTAAATTTCAGGGTAAGAAGATTACAAGATTCTTGGAAGAAGATGTAATAGTGAACGAAAAGGAATTTGAGACGAAGAGTGAAGTTGATGACACTGACGTCGAAATGGAAGCTAACGCAGATGACGTGCTGAATGAGGAGGATGTAGAAGCGTTTGTGAGAAAGATGGAACAAGTGAAAACGACACCATTGACAAAAGAAGAGGTGAATGCTCGTCGTTTGGCAACGTTGAAAGCTAAACAGGAGCGAAAAAAAGAAAACAAGGCAATGATTGTGATACCTCGTTTGGGTGAATCATTGAATAACAAAAAGATTACGTTTGACGATAGCGGGAATGAGTGTGAACCAGAGGAGACGAGCAAAGAGCATGACGTCATTACTAAATGGTTGGATTCGAGTGACGATGAAGCAGATGGAGACGAGCGTCGAGGACGTAAGACGTTGGATTTCTTAGGTGATGAAGAAGCAGACACTGCGACTGACAAAGAAACTCAACTTTCGTTTGCACTACGCCCCGAGTTTCTGGGAGAGAAAGGAAAAAAACTGTTTGAGCTGCAAAAGCGCTATGGAGGTGATTCGCGTTTTCGTTTAGATGCCCGCTTCTTGGAACAAGAGATGAACGAATATGGCGGTAACGAAGTTGATGAAGAAGAAGAATCGAACAAGGATGCGAATATTACGTTGCAGCACTCTGTAGAAGAGGAAAATAGCGAATTTGCTGAACGTCTTGCGCGCGAAATGCGCGAAGAGGAGACGATAGCACTACGTGTATTGTCAAAGCTTTTTCCTGACGTAGACGTAACGCGTTTGGAGCGTCGACTGTTTGAGCAACGCGTGCCAAAAGAGCCGCTAAAAGAGGCTGCGTGGATGGGCGAATTAAAGCGCTATGATCCGCGAGACGTTCATGCTTGCCGTGAGCTTGAGTTATCGATGACTTCGAGCTCAGCTCAAACTAAGATTGAGGATGAATCTACTTCAGATCGTCAACGCGTAGAAAAGGAAATCTTGACAGGTGGCGATCGATTTTTTTCAACCAGTGACCATCTTAGCTCGTTATTCACTCGTGTCCGAACAAACTCGGAAGACGGAATCGAAGGCGAAGCTGCTCTCGATGGTGTGACTTGTACTTCTGAGGCCAACTCCAATGCACCGTTTAAGCTCAGCTCACTTTTCTCCCTTTCAATGAATGGAGAGCAATCGTTGGCCGCAATGGGTGAACAGCTTCTTGAAGACGAGTCGACTGAAGCTACATCGAATGTCGAGAAGTGGGTCTTTTCCCAAGAGATCGACGATCACGATGATGAAGCGATGGCTACCGATAGTGAAGCTGGTGATGAGGTTGATGACAGTAACGACACGAAGGTCAATGAAACCAGCAAGCGAGTCAAGAAGAGTCTGGAAGATTTTATCGCTTTTGGTCGAACTTTTGTCGGGACGGAAGACGACGTCGCAGATTGGCCTGAACGCCGAAAGAAGCTCACACTCGACTACAAGCGCAAACGTCGAGATGCTGGTAAGATGAAGAAGCGAGCAGGCAAATTCCGGCAAACGAATGCAATAGCTGCAAGAGAAACTTCCAAAAGGAAGAAAACAAGACTCTAACTTGAATAAATAAAAAGCAGATAATGTCTGCTCCAGCCGGCTTCTCTCTCCCTGCTTTCGACACTTCTCATATATCTATTGTACCTTTAATTACGTGCGCAGCGGCGATGTCGCATCGACTCTGCGACTTTCTATTGCCATTGATTTGACATGCGGTGGTGGTGACTTGCTGCGACGGCGCTGTGGACTCTCGTAAGGATGGTGCAGCGTCGTTGAGTGGCGCGTTACTTCATCAAATATTCCTGGTGTAGGTTCTGCTGTATTTCCATTTGATTGAACACCTGAGCCACTTGATGTCGATCTGGGTGAGCCCATTGGATGGCCATGCCTTGGTAGCGGACCAAAGTAGGGCTGCTGGTATGCTATCATTGTGCGGTGGTGGTAAGCAGCTGCCGCTGCTTGTTGGTGTAGTTGCTGATACTGAAGCAACAATGCGTTCGCAGCCCTAGCATCTAGCGATGGCAGCAACGACTCCCATCGGCTGTCTTCGTCCTCGTCACTTTTGTTAAGAGTCGCTGAGAATTGGCGTCCTGGTGATATATTGCTCTTCTTTATTAATGAAGTCGCTGTTTTCCCGTGCCATGTTTGTCTCGGATGAATTAACAGGTCTGGACGCCATCCATCGCCACGACCGTACAGCTTCCAGCATCGCGCAAAAAACGCCTTGCTCTGTTCGTCATCCTTGATTTCTTCGTTCAAAAGCTCAGCATCGTCATCACTATGCACAGATTGAGAAACCAGCATTGCAGCTAGCCGATCTCTTGCAAGTCGAAATGCACGTTTCAGAATGGGAAAGACTTCGGCTGACACACTACGCGCCAAGTTGTTTTTGTCATCAAGTGGATCCACAATGTTACAGGCTCGGATAGGGAAAGCTATTGTCGACGCTCCCTTATGACCCGTAAGAGTCACGTCAAATGCTCCGAATTGGTCAGCCAAAGTGTCACGAATTGCTTCAATATCCTCCGCGTCAAGTCCTCTAGTCTTAGGTTTGGACTTGTACAAAGGAGTTTCATGAATCATTGCGGTCGCTAAATAGCTAAGCGGCACAGGGCCAAGCAAAGTTAATGCAGATTCGTGCCAAGGAAATTCTGCGAGTTGATCTAAAAACATATACAAAGCTTGTAGGGGGTGCGAAATTATGTCGCCGTGCTGATTGAACAGTGCCATGACGATCGTGTTCACAGCATAAGTCGAGAGAGCACCGTGGCTTGCCCCCATCACGTTAGATGGGGTGCTCCCCAGACCCAGCGCTCCGCCAGCCTCCACCGACGCAGCCTCCATGAAACCACTCGACTCATGTGTACACCAGGCTTTGATGAGAATAATACTTTTCTTAAACAAGTGGTGTCGTCCTACACGGGCTGCCATGGCATCCAGCAGACGGACAGCACCAAGTGCACCCACGCGGTTGGCTGTGATGTCGACAGAAATGTTGTCAATTGTACACTTGACAACTCGAACTTCTGCATTGATAAAAGTTACATTACGAACCGTGTTTGTCAAAATAAGAGAGCCACCGCTACTCGTGACAGTAGATGATGGAGCACAAGGTATGGTACTACTGCTCGTATCCCCAGATACACCGAGATCCAGCACAGTGCCAGCTCCCCCACTGCCGCCAGCGACACAGAGCGCCTGCATCACCATAAAATACCATGATGTCTCCAATTCTTGCGGCAGAAGTAAACAAATGTCGAGGTCGGAACCCGGCAAATACGTTTTCATGGGATACGAACCAGTAGGATAGAAGAGCGGGGCTGCCGCAAGTGGGAAGTGCGCGCTAATGATTCGTTGCACAAAAGAGATTACCTGTTGACGAACACGGTCAGCAGCCTCGCTAGGGCACATCCACTCTATAAGCTCATCTGCTTGACGAGCAGCTAACCCATCAACTGGAAATTGAGCTCGCAAGCTATTCACGCGGCGTTCAATAGCTGCTGCCTTTGCATGAGTTCGAGCCCCAGCTCTTCGTTTCTCCTCGTTTGCATAGATAGGAGACAATCTATTCAGCGCTAAAAGTCTTCGAAGCTCGCTAATCTCAGCGTTTTTTTCCTCGAGTAGCTTTTGATGCGCCCTCAATTGCTGTTGATGTTGCTCCGCAGCTTGCAGTGCCTGACCATAAGCGATGGGCCGAATTACAAGCGACGGCTTCAAAGTGCCAGATGTAGCGCTTGGAGACGAAGTCTCAGGATGAGGATGAGAACGACTGTGTTCAGAAGCCACCATAGAGGCCTGAGGGAAATTCGAAGAAGCTTCATTGGTAGGCAAGACATCACAAGGACGCTGCGTTTCAGTGGCTATATCGGCAAGAACCTTGAGTGCTCGCTGAATATCATCTTGCAAAGCGTCACTCATCTGTTTGCGGTCAGCGCGAGCCAAGGCTTCCTCGATAGCGCTCTTGTCACGCTCGTCAGATGCGTGCTGTAGACTTGCACGTAGCTTTTTGAGTTGCCGCTCGCGTTTTTTCAAGTACTTCTCGTCCATAAGCACAGCCTTCATTTTACTATGACCATCTTTCCCATCTTCGCTACTCCCTGAAGCCTCCTCGTTCGGTTCTTTGTATACGATGCAAGGTGCAGATACTTCCAGAGGGTGACATGACTGGTCCTTGTTCCCCTCACGACGTATACTTTCATTGAGTGATGCAGAGTTGTTATTGACTTCCAACGTCTCATGCTTTATATGATTGCGGCCACAATTGCTAGAATGCGCCTGGGAATCGATTGTAAATGATACGGCTTCCGAGGGTTCATCAATTTCATCATCCATCATGCTTTCCCACGCTTCATCGCGAGTCATACTTACCGTTGCCTTTGCCACTGGAGGTGAAGTAGTAGCAGCTACTGTTGCCCTTGCACTGCACCGCGTTGGAGTCTCTAGAGGTTTCTCACTTTCTAGCTTTGTATCCTTGATTCCAATCTCCTCATCAGTAGTCACTGACACACCCTCTTTAGGCCCTCCTTGTTCCGTATTGAAATCAGAATCTAGCTGCTTATCATCGATGCTCACTCTAGTCTCAATTCTGAGGTCATTTTGCGTCAAGTCGGAAGTATCGCTTGCTGTAATGTTACGACAACGGTCAATTTTTTCTTGCTCCATCCTATTTTCGTCGTCCTCAACTGTTTGCTGCTGTATTCGCTGCTCCTCCTGCCCTTGTCGCTCTTCTTCGTCCTCCAGCAGTACGTAACCCGCAGAAAATCTTTCTTTCTTACTCGCATGGGCACTGCTGCCAGCAGCCCTTTTCTTCTTTTTTTTCTTTTTCTTTTTGTTCTTACTGGAAGTGCTGCTTCCATTTGAATTCAATACCCCAGCACTATCCTTCTCGTCCGCATTTAACTCCAGCCAAGCAAGTGCTTCGCGCTGTTTTCGCTGTTCAAAAATACGACGACGCTCGCGGGTTTCTTGCAGTTCTAACTGCGCTTCCATGTTGTTCGCAAAAGTACTTAAAATCTCTTTATAATCCTCTTCTGCAGCGTTAAATTGTTCACTAGCAAGTCGTAGTCGCGCACGACAAAGCAAAGCGTGTAATGCTACATTGCTAGTAATCCTCCCGTTCGATCCGTATTTCTCCCCTTTTCCTTTTTTGTGACTACCGACGTGCACTGTTCCGCCCGAAGCAAGCTCCATTGTAACTTTTACAGTATTAGCCGCTTTATCCGCTCCTGACTTGTCAAAGTGTGCATGAATGATCGAGGAATAGTCATTCTCTGCCTCTTGGATCATCCCCAAGGCTTCATACAATTGCCCTCGCATCTTTAATCCATCAATAAAAAAACCATTTCTTTGCAATATGGCTGTGACTTCATCCACAGCGGCCTTCAGATCACCGCGTTGTCGATATAATTTCGCACGAGCCATCGCTACTTCAAAATCGTTAGGATCAATTTCAAGAGCACTAGAGTATTCTTTTAGCGCATCCTCATATCGTCCAAGATGCATCAACGCTTCACCCCGCAGCCGCAACGTCTCAATATTCTGCGGCTCAAGTTCCATAGCTTTCGTATAATCCTGCAATGCTCGTTTCTCGAGTCGTCGAGACTCAATTCCTCTATACAGTTCGGGATTTGGCAACTTGGTTGGATAGGCCAGCTTTACCCCGCGTTTCATGGTCGTTGGACCCGTCTTCAAACTTGGTGACGTCTGGCCTAGCTCCACAGCTGCTAACTCAGCATCCTTTTGTTCTCGTATATCTTCTTCGAGTGCTAACCGCTGAAGTAACTTTCCTCTTTCCATCAACACCTCCAACACACGTGCGTTTGATTTAACGGTCAATTCCTGAGGTGCCACAAAACCTGCAAGTCCACCAACACCTCCTGACGCATCAAAATGCCGACTCTCTTCCGTTTCTTCTCGCAGCTCAAGGAATCGATCAAAGTCATGCAACGCGAGCAGATCTTGATGACACTGTAAATAGAGTTGCGCTCGGTCATAATAAAGATTGGCATCTCGATGACCACCGGCCGAATTTTCAGCATGACAGAGATCTTCTAATGCATGAGTAATATTGTTCATAGCTCGGTATACTTTAGCGCGAGCCAAGTACAAGCCTCGTAACTGCACTAAACCTGGAGTTGAAGCCTGACCATCATTCCGTGATGCAATCAGACTGTAATCATGAAGTAACCCTTGAGTCGCTGCAAGGTTAATAGCTTCGTTGTAGTCAAGCATAGCGGCGTGGTGTTCCCCTAAAGCCGCATAAGCTTTACCTCGTTTTGCAAAGAGCTCTGCACTCTTTGGTGTCATTTGCATGACCTGAGAAAAGTCTTCAATTGCTGCTTTATACTTTTTAGTAGCAAGAAAACAGAGTCCACGCTGGTGGTATAGCTTAACAGTACTGCTCGTGGTGCCTAAGTCAGATGAGAATGATAAGAGAGTCTCTAATGCTTCACTTAATAATGGAATGGCTGCATTAAACTGTTTCCGTTCCATAAGAGAGACTCCGCGCTCAGCGGCGCGCTCAGCTGAGCTGAGGGACCGGCGGACATGATTTGTCGTGTTGAGTTGCTGCAGTGTACGATATTGATCGATACCAGTACGAAGGAGGTATGTGTCCTTGCTGGCTAAGTTATTACCATTTGCGTTCATCTTGAGGTTCATTTGCATCTTCATTCGTGTGGCCATTGGAATTTGAATGTTCTTGTCTACTTCGTCAAATTTGTCCGATTTCTTTTTGTTGCGACTCGTGTGGCTGCTCGGTTTGTCCGTCTTCATTACTGACCGTAATTGCCACGGTCACTAAGGCTTAGAAGCGCCTAGTGATTATGAAGGGGGAGTGCTGCTGACTGTGCCGCCGCTTGGCTGTTGATGCACAAGTTTGTGTCCGGTTGAACGATATTTCTTCCAATAGGGTTTGCTAAATCTTTTATTCTGACCAATCACAACGCTTTCACGTTTCAGTCCACACGATAGGAATAAATTATAATATTCAAACAGGAATGGCCGCAACTTTGGCTCGCAGTCTACGCGCGTGTACTCGCCAATCAGGATCGCTGTTGACGCGCACCTTTGCATCATCTGCTACCTTTGAAACTCAGCCTAAATTCTCCGTGGTTGATCATCCCGTAACAGCTGACACTATCAAGCCTGAAGATTATTTTGCCATTGTCAAGCTTGCTGGGACGCAATATAAGGTGGTACAGGGGGACATTGTCATCACTGAAAAATTAAAGGAAGCAAAGGTTGGTGAAATAATGGACATTGATCAAGTACGTTGTTTAAGATTGTTTGGAAAAACACAGCACAGATTTTACTATTTGGTATTTATCCTCGCAGGTACTTCTCTTAGGAAATGTGAATCAGACAATTGTTGGACGGCCACTTGTAGAAGGCGCTAAAGTACGTGCTCGCGTGGAGGAGCAAACACTGGATGCCAAAATCGATGTGTTTAAGAAGAAACGTCGAAAGAATTACCGCCGTTGGAATGGATTTCGTCGTCAGGTTACAGTGCTGCGTGTGACGGACATTGTCCCCATTGATGCTTAAATGGAGGTGTAGAGGATAGGAAAGGTTATGCTGCTGGCAAGTCTAAAATTTATTTTATTTTGCTTTCAGCTAAATTATTCCAAATAACAGTTGACTATGTAGTCCCTTTCACAGTTTTAAGTATCACGATTACTTGACTGGCCCAGATAGCTTCACGCTCAATCTCCAAAGAGTCAGCAGACCCGTACGCTCCTCGATCACAATGGCCCACCCGGAGCATGACCACGTGAATGACCATGACCACGATGAACATCACGAAGATGTAGACTCTGATGACGAGATCCCGGCACTTGAAGAAGCTCCGGATGCCGCTGATGCCGAAAAGGGCAAACACAATCGCTCGGAAAAGAAATCGCGCAAAGCCATGCAGAAGCTTGGCATGAAGCCTGTGGGTGGCATTATTCGTGTCACGATAAAGAAGAACAAAAATGTGCTGTTTGTTATTTCCAAGCCTGACGTCTTCAAGAGCACTGTCAGCGAAACTTATGTCGTCTTTGGTGAGGCCAAGATCGAGGATCTGAACGCTCAATCTCAGTCCTTAGCTGCTCAACAATACAAAGCACCTTCTGCTGAGTCTACTGTTGGAACTGCAGCCGCTATTGATGAGACCGAAGAGGATGATGAGGACGTCGATGACTCGGAAATTGATGCTAAAGACATTCAACTTGTCATGAGCCAAGCTGGCGTAAGCAAAAGCAAGGCTGTAGCCGCTCTACGCTCGAATGACAATGACATCGTCAATGCCATCATGGAGCTCACTATGTAAACCGTAATTTAGCTAACGTTAAGACGGAGCAAAATCTATTTGGGTTCTTTTGAATATTAAGCTATTATTTTGTCATCCTTTTTTTAAGATCCAAAGTTGATAATTGGATTAAAACAAGCTGCTGAAGAATCACACATAACCAAGCTGGGTTTTTTTAAGTTTGAAAAAAGATGAAGAGGATCATTAATTTAGGTGCTTAAGGCAGAAAGGTGAGCGAATATTTGTTTGCGACGTGTATCAAATGCGTAGTATGGTTTGT